TCAGCAAGATATAGGAAGCGCGAGCTGGAGTGGGGAATCCACACTAGGATTGGGTCAACCCCTGCCAGAGTCCATCCCTCTGAGCATTTGTGGGCTTCCTCTTGTTCTCATCCTGGTCTTCCAAAGCCAGCAGAGACAAAAGGAAGTTCACGAATGCTCATGGAGCTCCGGCTGGGAAAACGGCAACTTTCTTCCATTAGGAAGCTGCAGCTAGAGCAGAAGAGCTGGGCTGCTTGAGGTCACTGGGGGCTGAGCGCTAGAGCAGAAGAGTGGGGGGCGCTCCCCAAATCTATTCTGTTCAGGCTGGAGAGGGAACCAGCTGCTACGCCCCGCCAGTCCCAGGAATGGCTGAATTGCTTGCCCTTCTTGGGTCACGGCAGATTTTGCAATGTGCCTACTTCCACTTAAAGGGAATGGAAGAGGCCTCTTCCACAGCACACCCTAAATATTTTAACCCGGAACAACAAGGGCTGCTCTTCATGGTTTAGAATTTCCATTGGAGATGTTCTCCATAGGAACATCTGTGGCACCATCTCAAAATAAGAGAGTCTTTGTTTGACCCTGCTTTTTCCTTGGGTCTACAAGTGGGATTTGCTAATCATATATAAGATCACCAAACACCAGACTTCACTACCTGGTCAGGCAGAATAAGGTACAAGCCAGTCAATGACTCAGGAAGGTAATCAAACACAAAGATATAAGTTCAGCATCGGGCCAGTTTTTTGGGTTTTTTTAAATTGTGCCTTACAAAAACAGATTGGAGGAGGGGGAAAGGAAAACTAAGCTAAATTGACAATTTTGGGATGATAATTTTTAAAGACTCATAAAACTATTACATCTATATTATATTTTTTCTCCTTTTGGTTATTGTGGGTTTATTATTATTGTTTTTTGACACTGCTGGATTGCTTACTTTGATATTCTTGATATTTGATATTGTTTGACATTTGATATTATTCATTGATATATTATTGCTCTTTGATATTGTTGTGTTGCTTATTTTGATATTGTTGATATTTGATATCGTTTGATATTCAATATTATTCTTTTATACATTGCTATATTTTTCATTTTGATCCCTAGTATTACCTATTGTGCATTATATACTCTGGTTTTTAGTATACTGTTTTATCATGCATTTAGAAACTGAATTTATATACCTCCCAGAGAACCCGAATGGGCTATGGGGCAGGACAAAAATGTAAATTGAAATGAAATATTATTTATCTCTATGAATTAGTATATAACAGAATTTATTTATTTATTTGGAATTTTTATATGCCGTCCCATTCGCATAAGCCTCGGGACAGCTTCCAACATCATAAATAAAACAAGCAGATAAGTACATATAAAATCTGGATTCATCCTGGCTAAAAATTTAAAACCAATAAATAATATTGACAATTATTAAAATATTGTTTAAATAAAAAGGTCTTGGCCTGGCACCGAAAAACAAATAACGATGGTGCCAGGCGGACCTCTCTGGGGAGCGCATTCCACAGATTGGGCGCCACCGCAGAGAAAGCCCTCCTCTGGGTACTTTGCCTCCTAATGTCTTTCACGGAGGGTTCTCAGAGGAGGGCCTCTGCCGCTGATCTCAAGGGGCAGGAGGGCAAATATGGAAGCAGACGTTCCTTTAGGTATCCAGGTCCCAATCCGTTAAGGGCTTTGTAGGTGATAACCAGCACCTTGAATTGAGCCCAGACTTCGATGGGGAGCCAGTGAAGCTGGTAGAGGACTGGGGTTATATGAGAGTAATGCCCAGTCCCCATCAGCAACCTGGCTGCTCTATTTTGCACCATCTGAAGTATCTGGACTGTCTTCAAGGGCAGCCCCATGTAGAGCGTGTAGATGGTAGAATATACTACCATTGCTAAAAATAATTATGCATACGCTTTAAAAAAAGACAGCCCTAATATCTCTATATTTATTTATTTGTAACTCATTCCTAGAGCTGTATTAAATTGTGCAGCCATCTTGAAATTGTAAGTGGCCATTTATCCTTCCAATATTGTGGTCTTCCAGCTGCATCTTTTAATAGTAAAGAACTTTCCCTCACAAGATTCTTGTGAGCTGTTGCCACCTGCCAAATGGAAACTACCATGGGCACTGCCAAAACATCTGAAGAAAATGCACACTCTTACACCTCCAACAATAGGGCAACAGTCCAACCATCAAAGATACTCTGGCATCCAGTACACCCGAAACGTCGATTTCTGCTTAATTAAGCTTGGGCTAAGATCCTTGATCACTTCTGACATGGGTAAAAATGAAGTAGTTCATTGACCGAGGAGTTGAAGTGACCAGTTCATCATTGCATTCTTGGCTGAGATAACTTGCATCGTATTACTTCACCAAGAATAACGGTTGGCACACATGAGTTGCAGGCCAATGAAGTTCCGCAGTCTCAAGCAATATTGCCAGTCACGCAGGCTGCCCTGAAGCTGTAAAAACAGCAGATCAAACCAAGATTCTACCAAATGCCGCAGCTGCATGTATTGCCACTCAGCCATAGCTTGCACAGAAAGCAAACAATGGCAAACACACCCGCACATAGGACAAGCCAGCTGATTCAAAGTAAAAACCAGCTTGTGCATCCCAGTCCACTAAACAATGTCTTCTTGGCAATATGGAAATCCAAATTCCCTATAAAATAGATTGCGTATGTGAACATATATGCCACAAGTTCCTCAACTGGAGGAGGCACGTTATCTGTTTGGGTGTGATGAGCCCAAAGCAATCCATTTGAGAAGAGGAGCCATAAATGAAGATTCCAGAGCGGACCAGGGAGAGGAATCTAATCTAAGTGGGAAAGACCACGATCTAGTGCAAGTCCACAAATAGGCCTGATGATAAAAGGAAAGGTCAAAGGGGCCAAATCCACACTCTTTGATTGAAAGATGCATCCTTTTCAAGGGTATACACTTGAATGTAACAAGATTCAAGGTGATCTTGATAGGTTGGAGTGCTGGACTGAAGACAGCAGAGTGAAATTCAGTAGGGACAAATGCCAAGTTCTGCATCTAAGAAACCAAATGCATCGTTACAAGATGGGGGAGACTTGGCTCAAGATGCTGCAAGTGAGAAGGATCTTGGAACTGTTGTAGAACACAAGCTGAACAAGAGTCAGCAATGTGATGTGGCTGCAAAAGGGGGCAATGCTCTCTTAGGCTGCAGTAACAGAAGCATCACTTCCAAATCGGGTGACGTGCTAGTTTCTCTCTGCTCAGCACTGCTCGGGCCTCCGCTGGAGTCCTGGGTCCAGTTCTGGGCACCGCAGTTTAAGAAAGATGCAGACAAGCTGGGAAGGGCTCGGAGGAGGCACCAAGGATGATTCAGGGACTGGAGACAAAGCTCCGTGAGTGGCAGTGGAAAGAACTGGACATGTTTAGCCTTCAGAAGGGAAGGCAGAGGGGAGAAAGGGTACCACTCTTCGAGGTCTTGAAAAGTTGTCACCAATCGGGAGGCCAGGATCTTTTCTTGATCATCCCAGAGTGCAGCACATGGGGGAACAGGCTCAAGTTACAGGAAGCCAGGTTCTGGCTGAGCATCAGACAGAACTCCCAGACTGTTAGTGCCATGTGAGAATGGAACCCACGGCCAAGGGAGGTTCTGGGCTCTCCCACATGGGAGGCCTGCAAGAGGCAGCTCTGAGAAGGATGGTTGAATGGGGAGTCTTGCACTAAGCAGGTGGCTGGACCCGCTGGCCCTCTGGCCAAGATGCATTGCACAACTATTCTGTCCCAATGGATCATACAGTTTACAAACCTTTTCCTCCTGTACGTACTTCTACTACAATAAAAGAAAAGATCATTCATAAAGGCTACCAAAGGAAGAGAACTGTGTTTAGACCTGTTGAAAATCCCATGAGTGAGGCAGGGCAATTGTGCTACCAACGCCCTTCCTGGAAGCATCCTGAGCAACTCTGGGCCTGTGCCCTGAAATGTCTCCTCACGAGTAACTTTGCCCACTGCACAACAGGCCTGCCTGCAACGCGCTGCCAGGATGAGGGTGGGAGGCCAGGATCTGGAATTTCAGTTTGCGCCACACTGCAGAGAACGATTTGTCAGATTTCGAGCTGTCAGGCACTGACATGATAAAGAAGAACATAACATGAGTAATGTTTCCCTCAGACCCAGCTCCTTCTTTAATTATGAACCTCTTCCTTTCAGCGAAGAAAGACAGAAGATGTAGAAACACCAATTTCATGCACTTGTGCCTGAATAATGTTTCTGTGTGGCTTTTTCCAGATGGCAACCTTTTCTGCTGCAGGAACTAATGATGTGGGCATATTTAGAGAAAAAGTAATAACAGTCTTTAACCTTCAACAGCAAAAAGCATGTTCGACAAGACGTTCCTTGGGATGCATTAACAAATATCAATTACTTTGCTCAGTGAGGTGTAATCAGCTGTAATAATCAAAATTAATTTTAAGAAATAATTAAACAGACCCCAAGGCAAATAGCTGGAGCCCACACAGAATGGCATCAAGGACTCCTGAGCACACCTGGAAGGGAGTTGCGCTGCTCAGATGCAACTAACGGAGCTAAGGGGCAACTGGGGAAGCTGCTCCCCAGCTCTGCTCTGCAGAGGAAACGGCCGGGGTGCCGTGCAGGCAACACAGAGACGTGGCCCTTGCATGTTGGCAGAAATAAGACCTCCTGCACAGGCCCCAGCAGATCCGTCCTGAGCCCCATGTCATCTCTGCCTCACCCCCCGGCCTTCGTCATCAGCATCCAACGCATCAATAACACCGTTCCCAATGTTTAAGAACAAAAACACCCCTCATGGGCTGTGTTACAGAGTAAATGAGCACAATTTGCGTACATTCGTGCTTTTCTGATTAGCATTTGGAATCTGTGCCTCACAATTCAGGACTGTTACAAAAGAGTTCCATGTGCTTTGGCTTCAATTGGCAGGTGTCACACATCTTATTTCGGTTAGGAAACACTTTGCCCAATGTAGGAGGTTTGTGCAGGTGAGGTGAAGATGCAACTTACCTTAGGATTGCATTCCATCTGCGTCACATTTTTGCTGGGTGTCAGCTTCACTGCTGAGGACAAGCTTCCATTCCAATAACTTATCTTGTTTGATGCTTGGGCTGAAACCTTGTTCTGTGGAATTTTCTTTTCTGAGGCTAAAAATTGGAGAGAAGAAAGAGACAGTTGGGTGAAATCTGATGTTCTCAAGCATAGGAGGCCAATCAGCCATTATAATGATGTCCCAGATGTCTATTTGGAATGGAGGCTCAAGCCACAGTGACACAACACTTGAAAACGCCCGCAAAGTCCTTCCTGCTCTCTCTGTACAAAATTAAAGTTCTCTGAGATGCTGAGTGGGTGGCACAAACAGCATTCCCTTTGCTGATAGATTTTCTTTCTATTCCACCCAATAGTCAAAATGTTCAGAGCGATTTGCAACAATTTCTCAAAATCCAAAAGATGCCATTGCAATTAAATCAGTGTAAAGCAAATTGGACTGGGGTGGGATCTCAGAGGTATCATATTTAAGAAACTGTTTCAAATCTTCCACGGGAGGTGGGCTTCCACGGGAGGTGGTTGAGGCCCCATTGGGAGGGTGTTCAATGATAGGCTGGACATGCACATGGTGGTCATGTCGTGAGCGGAGCCGGCTGGAGCCGGGGGTCAGACTAGATGGCCCGGGAGACCCCTTCTGACCGTTTCTAAGTTTCTCTTAAATGCCTGCCATCATTTAAGATAAGAACAGAGACCTAGGAAGTGCTGCCAGGCCTTTTCCAAAATCTCTCTCCACAGAGGATTCACGTCGGCCATTTTCACTGTCTCATCTCCGTCTGCTGTCTCAACAGAGAAAGGCACTTTGTATGCGTCCTCCAAGTCCTTTCTCCTCTGAGAGAGAAGTTGGATCCAGATTTCTTCAGTTGTCTTCAAGATGTCTTGCTGAACTAGAGTCAAACAGAAAGGAAATAGGATGTGCTATAAGAAGGTATCCAAGATCTAGAAGAAGAGAGTGGCATCAGAGAGCTAGCAACAGATCCACCAGGCCAGTGGTAGTCAGCAGCATGGCTGACCTCACAAGCCCCTCAGCTCAGGCCCTGGCAGATGCAATGCATTTGAAGGACCTGACAGCTTGATCAGTGCTGAATTTGACAATGTGCAGGTGACAGGACAATGCCTTGAAATGGCGCACCAGCTGCAAGCTTAGTTTGACTCACTCTTTTTCTCATCTGTGATTTGCATTTTCAAGTTGAACAGAGAAAGTGTGTGTTTTGAACGGAAAAATGGTCTTTGACTAAAGCATGAACTTGCAAATTTTTAGAAGTTCAGAAGTTTGAAAAGCGCTTTTTGAAATGCCCACTTTAATTATCCAGAAATTTTCAACTTGCACATTTCTAAAACTACGCATTTTACAAATGCAAGCTCAGAAATTTGCAACAAAAAAAAACTCCAGAGAACATGCCATGACAATGACATTCTAATGCAGCCTTAGCTCCCGTTTATCAACATTATCGGGAGCTGCTAAAATGCCAGCAACTTTATTCCAAGAAATATTCTTGCCAGCACTTTGCGTAAGTTGGCGCACTGCAGTTGTGAGAATATCACATTTCCAACTGCCAATATACATTACCATTCCTTATAGGAAAGAGGTAATCCATCTTCTTTCCTTCTTTACTAGGGTCCAAGAAAATCTCGTGACCGAAATCTGGCCTCTCCTTTTCTGTATGATCTTCTGGAAAGCTGTGGCAGAGAAATTAAACATCCAAATAAACCACAAAGAGTTTGACTGTGGCTTGTTGGGGGAAGCTGACTGAAGCATAGCCCAGTAATGCAAGGTTCCTAGACTGAATTCCTTTGGAGGCTCACAGATTGTGTAAGGCAATTAGATCTCAGTGGCAAGTTTTAATCCCTTCCTTTGTAATCCCCAGCATGGATTGTTTCTTCACAAGTGTGAAAATGTATGATTGCGCTTTCTACAGAGACTCCAACATCTCTGCCATGGGTAGCTGTCACTGTTTAGGACACTAATTGCTATTGGAACATTTTTACCAAAAGCTTCAGTAAACAGTAGCTTGTAAGTTATGGGAAGTTTAATTTTGTGATCTAGGAATTGAGATAAGATAGTAGGAATGTGCATGATTAAAAATTAATGATTTTGGAAAATTGTCACTTGACACATTTTTGAAGAAACTCGTTTGACATCCTTTTTTAAATTTGGGTGCATAGCAGTCAAATCCTATTAGTGAGTAATTGCTGTTCCTCATATATTGTCAGATTTACGGTTTTCTGATGTGTTGACTTTGATTTCATTCTTTTCTTTTCTTTTTTTTTTTACAAATTTGTTCTATTACATCTGGTGAAATTATATTAGGCCACTGATGAAGATGTCTGCATTGAAGCATTTGCTTATATAATTCTTGTATACCTTCTAATATATTGCATAATCACTGTTTGTGCCATTGTATGCACCTATTAGCTTATGTCATAAAGGAACCAGTGCAGTGTTTATATATTTTCGTTTCCTTGGCTCCGTTTGGTACCCATGGCCTCTGCAAAAAGGCAGAGTAAAGTTCACACTCCACCTGAAGTAGCAAAGAAGGCTTGCAGGAAGACTAGAAGCAGTACCTCATCGCTTGTATCTGTATCAGGCAATACAAAAGGCAAGTGATAAAGTCGAGGCTGGCATTCACGATTGCAAAGATGACGTCCTGCTGCAGTTGAAGGGTGTGCAGTACCCTCAGGAGCTTTTGCTGGTCAGAAGGAGAGCTGGACAGGTAGTACAAGATGGCTCGGTTTAAGCTGCTGTGCAAGATGCTTAAAACGGCTTCATTGTGCAGCTTCTCTTTGACCTGTTAGAACAGAAAAGGGAGGAGCTGCATGTGTTCCATTCACAATTCCCATTGTCAGCAAAGATCCCGGCCTTAGTACATAATGGGCACATTTCTGCATGGAGCACAGTAAGATCTGCTTTTGATTTATGGCTGAGAAATTAGAATGCTTTCTTGTTCTTGAATGATCTGTCAGGAATGTGAATGAACCTGCAGGCTGGTAAATATATTCCTTGTTTCATAAACCTGCTTTTTCCGAGTATTTGTTGTTGCTGCTGTTAAAATGTGACTTTAAAAGATACCAAAAAAACACTGAAAAGAAACACTGAAATAGGTATTTGAAAAATTGGGGAGAAACAGAGACTTGTGTGAGAGTTCACAGAAGAAATGAGACTGACTCCAACATGGACCACGTGACCCTCCCCTTGAAGACAAGCAAGCTGATCCTGTGATATGTGAGATTTTATCCCTACTTAGTGTATCCTCTACCATTTCTCCATTATTCTCACATAGTCTCTGATTTCTACAGAAACTCTATCAAGTACCTTGGTCAGGTGCTTTAAGAATCATGGTCAGCAGCAGGTGAATCCAAACGGTCAGATGCCCGTTAACCATTTCAATATCATTGATGGGTTGCTCATTTGCATCCATGCTGCTGCATTGCTTTCTTTGGGATTCAAATTAAGGAATGCATCCAAATGCACACTTGATGCTTCTGAAACAACTAGTATCTTGTGCAAAAGTTTCCACAGCTAATCAGGGTCAACACCCCCACCAGTTCACATATGAATCTGTACATTCGCCAGTCAATATTTGCCCGATGGAACTTGATGAGACATAAGGAAAATTTAGTACAGTCAATTATATCATGGCACTATGATGCCTGTGTTTAAAATTAAACCTTTACGGTCACAAAACCTGGATTATGACTAATCAGTTAGACCTACTGTGAATTACAGACTTGAAGAAAATAATACTTGAAGGTAACAAAAGTAGTATCTTACCATTGTCACTTGCTCCGTAAGGAAGAGAATCACCTTTCTAGGGTCAGCAGCAAGCATTCCTCCACAAAGTTTCTCTACCAGCTTCTGGGTAAAACAGGACAGATTCACCAGACGCAGAGGGGTGGCTGCCTCTGCAACACCTCTGGAGTCTCCCTCCCCTGCAAGGCAAGGAAGAATTTCTGGAATGGAGAAGGGGAATAAAGCTGTTGGACCTCAGGAAAAGGCAGACTGCTTGATGGCTACATGCTACACCTGGGCTACAAACGCCTCCTTAGCTCCACACCTTGAGGAAGTTGTGTGGGGATTTGACATTGCTTCCTAGACTTTTAGCCATTTAGGAATTGAAAGGATTTTAGAAGAAAATCCCCTTGATCCCCTTTGTTTTGGTGGATCGCTGATGGAGAGCCCACTCTGATAAATCTTGAAGGCTGCCATGCTGCAGGGACTACGATACACCATCTTCTGCAGAATGCCAGCGATCAAAAGTTTTTATAACAAGACAATTCTGGTTCTGTAGAAACAGAAAAACAGAGGATAATGTTGTCAGCTACTTACCTACTTGTAGTCTAGCAGACTGAGGCCCCGAGTAGTTCAGTATTTTGTTCTTATCTGTGTAGCAGCCATTGCTACACCTTGTAGCAGCAAACCCATAAACTCCACTCACTAGAGAATACTTCTTTGTGGCAGGGGGAGGGGGGCACCAGGGACAAACCACTCTCTCCCGTCCCTGCACGCCACGCATGAGCTTATGCGCCTCCATCATGACCCTTCTCACTTACCATCTGTCTAAAATGAAAAGTCTCAGCCACTCTAAGTAGGGCTGGAAAGACACCTGTCCAAAGCACTAGAGAGCAGCTGCCAGTCGGTGTGGACAATGCTAAGCTAAACAGACCACCAGACCAATGCACTCCAAGGCAGCTTCTTCGGTTCTGAAATAGAGTTTCCTTTGCCCAGTGGCCACGCCATGTATTTATGCTCAAAATTCAAATATATTTCCATTAGCAGATGACCCACAGAGAAATGAAAAAGAATTATGTATTTAGAGGTAGAAGAAGGTAAAGCTGCGTTCTTGCTGCTGAAACAAAACTAGGAGCAGATCGTGCTGGTGACCATGAACTCTTAGCAGAATCCAGAGAAGACCAAGACTTGAAAGCACAGCAATGAAGGAGCTGGAAAAGATCATCAAGCTGAAGGGCATTTCACTACATCAAGAACATCATCCACTCTATTGTCTCCCTGATCATTATGTATGGCTGGGAAAGTGGAACAATGAAGAAAACTGGCAGGAAGAAACAAGCAGCGGTGCTGGAGAAGCGCTGCTCAAAAACTGTATCCTGGAGAAAGACCAGCAAGTGGGTCCTCGATGAAATCCATGCAGAACTTACCCTGGAACCAAAAAGACCAGAACTGAGGGTGTCTTACTGCGGGGACATCATGAGAAGGCACGATTCACTGGAGAAGGCAAGGATGCCAGAAGGCAGGAGAAGAGGAAGACCACTCTGAGATGGACTGAGTCCATGAAGGAGCCACAGCCTTGAGTTTACAGGAGCTTAGCAGTACTGTTAAGGGGCATCCATTCGTGGGGACACCCTACGTCGGGAATGATTTGACAGTCCATAGCAACACACCATCTGCCCTGCTGCCAAAATGTTTCCCTGCCTGATTGCTCAGAACTGGCCTCAGACTTGGTGCTGAGAACCTCCAAGATGATGTTTCTGGGTAAGATCAGGACTTCATGGACAGGAATGAGGTGGGAGGGATTAATCCGGTTGGCCACAGCCTCTCTTAAATCGCAGTTGCAGTATTTTGCAGCAGCCCTGTGCCCTAAGACAGACTGGGCGCTGGCATTGTTGGAAATGAACAAATCGGTCTGTTTGTCCCATGAGCAGAAAAGAAAAGCTCCACGAGGATCACGCAGGAGCCATTGACTTAACCCATGCTCATTTTCCTCAGCTCACTCCAGCTGCAGTACGTTGGGCCAGTCCCAACCATCAAGGAGCCAGGAGGACTGGAAGGCAGCATTGTCAGGGAATGAGCTTCCAGGTTCTTTCCCCCAAAAGAATCAGCATGCACTGGTGTGTGCTTTGACTCATGAGCCAAATGTGATCCTCGAAGGGCAGCCGCTTAGGTTGCTATTGCAGATATACAGCTGAATGACTACGGCACCTGGGCATGACAACTAACTTCTGGTTAAGTTACAATTTCAGATCGTGAAGTGATCCGCCCGTCCCTCTTCCTACATTTCAGTTCTTAAAATGTGTTTAAGGCTGTTGCACCTGGATCAGTCTCGTTTCTGTTCTAGTGGTACATTTGCCACCCGTGCTCTGAAGGGGCTGCTTGATCGTGATGCTCCTGAGGGAAAGAAAAGCTCTTACATGCCTCCTAATTTGCCTGTCCTTGGATGTTGAGAAAACCCACCCAGGGACAGCTGGCAGGGGCCACAGATATTTTCTGCCTGAATTACTGGCACTGCCATAAGACTTCCAGGATGGTATTGAATGGATTTCTCTAGTTCCCAGTTCTGTGCAAGGGTCATGTTCTTGCAGGAAGTTTCAACTAAAGAATATCTCCGTGCATATTATACAAAAAAAGGGTCTCAAGTCAGAGAGGGCAATTTACAAAGGCAAAAAAAGAAAACAAATCTAAGAATCTTGGTTTACCATAGCATATCAAATAGTGCTTTCTGTATTGTTCATCAATTTTTTATCTGGGCAGGTTGAAGAATGATTTCTCAAAGGCATTAAAATCTGTGGTGTGCCATGCCTGCTCCTACCTCTGTAGATATTACTTAATTGAGCTTCCAGCTGGAAAGTCTTGAGTTTGGTTCCCATTTATGCGGTCCAATGAGATAATGTTTTGAGCATCTGGGGATGTCACATATCAATTGAGCACGCCTCTTTTTTCTTGCCTCAGATCATTTTATATGCTTTTATACTTATATAGGCTAATAAGCAATTAAAATATATTTTTAAAATACCTTTTCTTTTTCAATTTTCTTTTGACCTAAGTATGTGTTTGATAAGTGATTAGGAAATGGGGCAGATGGATTTCATTGCTCCCTTTACTGGAAGACAGAAATTTCTTTTCACATCTTTTTGTTTTTAGCTTTGCATGTATTCATTATTTTTGTTAGAATCTGGGGGGTCTTTTGTGGGCTGCATTACTATCACTCCCAAATCATACGAAGTACTAGCTCCCCTTTACTCCACAGTGGTTTGGACCCCACTTGAGTACTGCATCCAGGTTTGAGCACCACCGTCTAAGAAAGATGCAGAAAAATGGAAAAACGGGTTCAGAGGGGGCTGGAGACAAAGCCCTGTGAGGAGAGAGTGAAAAAACTGGGCAGGTTTCTCCTCAGGAAAAGAAGACTGCGGGGAGATAAGATAGCACTTTTCAAAAACTTGAAAGGCCGTCACACAGAGGAGAATGAGGTGCCTTCTCCATCATCCCAGGGAGCAGGACACAGAAGATGGGCTCAGCTTACAGGAAACCAGATTCTGGTCAGACATCAAGAAGAACCTCCACCAATGGAACCCATCAACGATGGGCAGTAAGAATGATGCCCAGATTGTATTACCTATTTGGGAATACTTGTTGCCAGAGCTAAATTTGAGCGAGTTGGATAACAAGATTTCATGTGATATAGATAGATCTTACACTGAGTTTGTGGTATAAGGTTAATACACCTATGAATAGAATGAATATTACACTAAGGATTGTCTATGTGCTATGCCATAATCCTCTATTTATATTTGGCAAATGTTTTCATAAATTTGATACTCTTCTTCATAGATTTCTCTGTTATATCCACCACGATCCATGCTTATAAACACTAGTTGTCTGTGAATAAATGTGATAGGCAGGGTCTTCAACTGAAACGGAATAGGGAACCAAGCTGTCCTGTTTGTTTTCACATATGTGCCAGCAGCCTCAACGGCTGTTTGGTGATATTTTATTCAGCAAAAGCCTTTACATTGTTCTGGACGGCGCTGGGTCTTGTTAATAAAGCTTTCCCTAAGTCAGCCAACTGCTGGAGGTGGAACTCCACCTCTGCTTCTCTTCCACACATGTTTTGGCAGTGTCGCAGCTGCTTCTTTTTGTGGAAATGATCAGAACACAGACACACTTAGTATTAGGATGCTCTTTAACTTTTAATGATGTGGATGTTCTTTTAAATTATTTACCTGCTGCAGTGAAGTCAATGCAAGGACAATGCAAATGGATTTTCCGTGCCCTTTTGACAGCTAAAAGACTGATATTACAACACCAAAAAGATAAATGTCCACTTCTGATACAAAATGGATTGAGGATCTAACAAAATTTTCAGTATTTGAATGCATAGTATTTAGACTGTTCCTGCAAATTGACAAATATATGGACATTACTCTGCCTTTCTTGAAGTTTATACATAATCGTTTTCACTAATAGCTATATTTTCATGTACTCATAGATATACATTTTATGCATATCCGATGAAAGCTATTTTAATTATTTTGTTGAAATTCACATTAAAAAGAATAATATAAAAGCTGAATAAAACTATCTTACTCATACAATATAGTTTCAAAGACTGTTAAAAGTTTTCAAAATTATCTGGGATGCCACTAAGAAAACAACTACTAGTTCTTCTGTCAAAATTACCTGAACTAGATGAAGATTCATACCTGCTTGCTGCCTAATTATTTTACCTTTTCTCTTGGTTGACCTAATCAACAGAAATACTTATTGCTACTTCCTTCTTAATTTTAAATCCTTTAAGTAAACTAGTCAATATGAATAACTAGTTTTAACATCTATGGAAATAATTAAAGATTCCTAATAATTCACATTCATTGCTCTTGGGAATTAAATTAGATTGGTACTTAAAGAAATTAGTATCTATTTGTGCTTATTTGCTAGGATTTTATTTAACCAAGATTTTTGTTAGCTTATTTTAAATTCCATTTGATGATAATTCATGACTATTTGGTCTTTAATTATTTCCCTCCAATAATAGGGAATTTTCAGCATTTATCTATGGTGGCACAAGGTTCAAATGCAATCAAGGTATGCTAAAGACTATAGAATGTGGGGCTTTTATAAGGAGTTAACAGCATTTGACCACATGATTCTTAAATCAGATGAAAAAATGATTAAAAGATGGTATAACTTTCTCCTGGATAGGAGAATGGAAGATGAACAGGTTAAGGAAACTATGATAACGTGGGCACAAAACTTTGGATATAATATTGAGTTAGAGAAATGGCAAAAGCTGTGGGAAAGAAATATTAAAGTAACATTAGCAACCTCATACAAAGAAAACCTGTATAAAATGTTTTATAGATGGTATCTGTCACCAAATAGGTTAGCTAAGATGTTTCCAAATATGTCAAATGGATGTTGGAAATGTAAACATAAATTGGGTACTTTCTATCATATGTGGTGGACCTGTGATAAGGCAAAAAGTATTGGATTAAAATACACAAATGGCTTGAGGAAATGTTACAAAAACCTCTAACATTTAAACTGAAGTTTTCTTATTAGGCATTGTACCTGATGATGTTGGTAAACAAGCAATGTATTTGACTCTACGTGTAACCACTGCGGCGAGGATTGCATTTGCCCAACACTGGAAGACTGAAGAGCCACCTACCAATGAACTAATTCTAAAAAAGATCCTGGACTGTGCAGAAATGGACAGATTGACTTTGTCTCTGAAGGAGAAAGAAGATACAGACTTCTATCAAACCTGGGACTCTTTTTATCATTGGCTAGAGAAACGGGACTATGCATAGAGTTAAATATGTTTATAGTTTAACATAAAAAGAAAAAAATGTGGGGGGCTGACCCAGTAGGTCTGATGTTTTTGATGATTGATGACTTTTTAGTTCCTTCTTTGTTAGGTTTATTAAGAATAAAACTTATTCAAAAATTTTTTTTCTATGGTTAAACGGACTTTAATGCCTATTATTGGTCCCTTTCTTAAATTGTCTTTTAATATTAACATCATTCAATTAATTAAATAGTATAGTCATGGACTATGGTATGCTTATTAATGAAAGTTGCTAGAGATTTTCCTGGTTCTTCCACTTTCATGGGGGACCAGCGTGGAGGGCCAACAAGCCACGACCTGACTTGCGTGCTAATTCTTAATTCTACTTAAAGGCAAATCTTCATTTCTCAGGAACGGAACTCATTCATAAGCCAGGGACCGCCTGTATTTACAATTTACTACTATTTTTATTTGTAAATTACTACTTATTTTTAATTCCAAAACTGACTGAAGAAAAATTGTATTAGAGGAGGTATGCAATTTTAGAACTAGAATAGCATGCAACATGATTTATCGAGAGATATTTTACTAACATTTAAAACTTATATGTGAAAGGATTTAATGAAAGCAGTTTTGGAGAATCCAAAATCCTAGGTCCAGGAACAAGGGTTAGCTAACTATTTCTAGAAGATTTATCACTAATAAAGAAATTTAAATTTCTGAAAGAAAGATGAGTTGAAAAAGGAACTGAATATAAATGCCATGTTCCTGATGATATCTGCTTTAAACATGATTAAATAGGCAAACAAAAAGACAAAGAGGAAGGGGGATTCAAAACAAGAACAGCCATGCTAGGTCAGGGCACAGTTCATCTGACGCAACATTCCATTCACACGGCGGCCAACCGGCTGCCCATGGGACACCCAGGAGGAGGGTTGGAGGGCAGTCGGAGGGTCCTGTTTGGACTCCCCCAAAACTGGTGTAAAATAAGCAAGTTGCCTCTGACACTAAAGCACGATATAGCCACCAAGACTTGCAGCCACTGGCAGCCTTTTCTCCCAGTAATTGTTGTCTAATCTAGGTTTAAAGCCATCTAAACCAGTTGCCATCTCTACATATTGCAGTAGTGAATTCAAGAGGTACCTCCGTTGATCAATTCCGAATCTCTCATCATTCAGCCCCACTGGTAGCAAGAATCTCACTCTACTTGTGGAGCAGATTCAGACTGCAAGAGAGAACGGTCACTTGTGACATTCACCTCTTAAACTTGATGTTTCCCCATCATCTTGGCCAATCATGTGGAAGATATCCATGATGGAAAGCAAGACTTCTGTCTGGAAAAACTTCTTCTGCTCATTGGTGGAGTTCTCTGCAGAAGCCTGTATGGCAATAACAAGTATTTATAGGAAGTGCCACTGGGTGACCCTAAAGAAAAGTGCTATTCCCGTACATGCCTATGTGATAGGATTGTTTAAAGATGGTGCAGGACAATAGACTCTGCAGTAACTGGACTGTCAACAGCCTCATCCTATTCTTGAGAAACGGCATAGAACTTTACCATCCTAAATCAGATCAGATCCCTGTCCTTCAGGTAGAACTCTAACAGTGATCCGGATATTCTATGGCTCACTGCAGAGACCGTACTAAGGTGGTGTTTGCACTGGGCAATGCACGGCCAAATGCTGCCTTGTACAAGGTCCCCAGAGAACTTCTGCTAAGCGATATCCCACTCCATTTGGTAGCAAGCCTGAGCCTGGAAGTCAAGCCAATGGGGAAATGGCTGAGGGGATTTCACAGAATGGTGGCAAAGGAGGACAGCTTAGCACCCTCTTCCACCCCACCCACTGCTTCTGAAGCCCTTTCATGGAACGCCCTTTCGTGACTACCACAGAGGAACGCTCTAGATCATGTCAGCCTTAGAGCGCCGCCAGCCCTGGGCCTTCGGCCTCAAGCCAGTCCCCTCCTCCCTAACCCCACCTCATTCCATGAGCAACACAGAACTTGAGGAGGGAGGCTACAGCACCAAATGGATGAGACCTCAAGGAAAAACTCCAGGGGATGCCACTGCTTGTTGGCCGAGCCCAGAAGCAGAGATTCCATCAGGAGGAGGCGTATGAAGTCCCACACTTGCTTCCTAGCAGGATGCAGCGATGGAGAAAGAGCAGGTCCAGTCACCCCCTCACTGTGCGATGTAGCAGCCAAATCGCTGGGAGATGTGGACAAGGTACTCTCACAGCTGCCCTGCAGATGTGAGAAAAACAGCAGTGGCTTGTTAGGCCAGCAAAATTCACTCTTCACACTCTGATGCTGCTGCTGCTGCTGCTGCTGCTATGGAAGAAACAATTTTACTGAGAGTGACTTACACTGTCAGGATAAAAATAGCACAGAATATGCTAATGTTATACATTAAAAGTCCATTGAAATAGATGCATTCGGCTCCTAACAGGGGAAGTCACAGATGTGGATGCTGATAGGAAGAGCATTCCAGGGATCGATACACAGATCTCCCGCCTGGAGGTGTCCTCTGAAACTGATATGCATTCCCGGGAACAAGCGGTCCCTAAGACCACCTCGACCCAACCACTTTTTAAAATACTAAAACCGGAGCCACGTCAGAGCAAATGCAAGCCATGTTGTCCGGGAGACATCAGGGGATCACGAATGGCTCGACTGGCCAGACTTTCACCTCTTGGAAAAGCCATGCTGGGCATATACAGTACATGCAACAGCGGCTGGCAAAGAAGACCTCTTGACCGCCAGCACCACTCCGCAGTGTGCTGCTAATGAGAACCGGTGTGAAAGCCAATGTAGTCTAGCATGTATACATACAGTATATGCATGTGTATGTAAACACGCACACACACACACACTCAGGGAGGTTCGCCTGGTGCTGTCGCTTTATTCTTTGGGACTTCAGAGGCCACCCCAGCACCCTATGCTCAGAGGCTTGCGGGAATGCAGCCTTCTCAGCCATCTGGCGTCTCTTAACCGCAAGCCATTTTGCTGCTCCTCACGGAGGTTTGGAAGGCAACCATGTTCAGAGCCAGAGAGGTGCAGGGGCAGAACCTTCTGCGGTATGTGCCGCATGCACACAGCCATCTTGCCTTCCAGCCAGATGTCGACATGGACCGAGGGAGATGGCAGCTGCCATTTTCTGGGAGGGTCCTGAGGCAAGCCTTGATTTGCTCCAGGAGGAAGCGTTAGCATCGTACTTCCTGGATCTCTTCACCCAGGGCCATCAACAGGATCAAAGGGGTGTTGGGAGCCTGACGGCCTTTTCCCAGGACTTGTGAACAGCACCGTGCTGGCAGCTCATACCTGGGGCTCCGTGGAGGGAAAGACAGCCAAGGCCAATGCTTGGAAGAACTCAGGGTTGCGCCAGAGGGGATCCTGGGGGTAGCTGTGATACATGAGGCAGAAGAACTGCATGATGTGTCCTGGGTAGGTGATCTCCCACGAATCCTCTGGGCCTCCTGGAATCTGGATGCCAACATGCAAGGCAGTCAACAAGATAAGAACAATTTATTTATCTGCCAGGATACAATGCAAGGGGCCTTTAACACCGTCACCATCTCAGGGCAGCTGCTTTTCTCAGCCAGTTTATGCTGATTTTCCACTGTTTCATTTTGATACAGTCATGTGATTGGGATGGGAGTGGAGGAATTACTGATTAAGCTGTTAGCATGCTACCAATAAGAAATATTTAAAGGGCTAAATATGGTAACAATGCAAACTAGAGCAGGGCAGATATTAACAATTTTGCAAATATTAAACTTTATATTTTTAAAATAATTAAAATGCATTTTTAAGATTATCTGCATTCAAGGAAAACTAAAGTCTACACTGATGTTCTTTTGAAACAATCATGATCATCTATCAAACTTTGAATTAAAAGCTACTTTTTGTGTGAAAGAGAACCATGGGGGAAGTATCTGACTTCTCAAGTTAAATATCATGTCACAAGAAGTCATATATGTATTACTGTGAGCTACCTACTGGACAAAGGTGCTATCAAGTCTCCACAGGAACCATTATCTCACCCAAGGGATGCTTGGAAAACACACAGATAGAATAGATGCATCCATTCTTATCTTTTCTAGTTGTCCTAGAAATGTTACCATAAGCTGGAAAAGATAAGCATATGAGCATGATATGCAAGCACTGTGACAGTTAAGCGTACCTGCAATTTTCCATATTTTATTTTTATGGGAAAATATTACTTGGGTCAAGTATTACCTAGCCTCCAAGCAGAAGGTGAAATGGAGAACTTTACCCTCAAAGTGTTTGTGATAAAACGGTGTCAAAACAACAACAGGAAGAAAAGAACAATATTAGATGAATAAGGGAATGGTGTCCTGGGCTAGGCTTAGCGTGGTGGAAACAGAGACCTCTCCCAAGGCTGAAAGGAGAGCTGAGGGCAAGGAGCATTCGCTCTCCATGCGCGTTTCCACACCAAGGCATAACACTTTCCAGCCTGCTGTAAGTTATGGAATCATGGAACCCAACTCAGTGTGCAAACACTGATGGACCAACCGCTGGAGTCCAAGGCGCCTTCACCTTGTGGTGACTCCCCTGTGCCTGACTCCCCCACATGCCAAGGCAGGTGTGTTGCACTCAGGTGTTTCCACCAGCCAAACTCTGGCCTGCACCATATGCAATTTGGCACGTACCTGCTTCAGGATGGACTTCACCATCTCCAGCAGCAGAACTGCTGCCTCCGGGCACAACCCGAGCCTGGATACGGCATTCTTATGGTGGTTGTGCAGCAGCCATTGCAACATGGAGTCCAGATTTGGCTGAAAGAAGGAATACCGTGAAGGGCAAGTGTCTTGTTGTGCATGTTGTTTTATTGAGCACCACGTGGGATGCAGCAATCTCGAAATGGCACGTGCACGTTGGTAAAACAGGCAGGGAGACCCGACTGAACGGAACTGAAATCATCAGTAAATTCCATATACCGAAAAAACACTCTGGCAGGTACAAGAGGAAGCAAGTCTAAAAGCAAGTTTGGACGCTTAGCCTCTGCTCATGTCAAGAAAATTGCACCCAAACTGGGGATTTCTCCCCCAAATCCTTCCCTCTCACTAACTCTGTGGGCTCTATCCTCAGGGTGGCTCCTGACCTACACAAGCCCTCTAACTGGGCAGCCCGTCTCTCCCAATGCCTTGCCCAGAGGTCAGAGCCAGGGCAACACAGTGGCTCTCCTTCCTTCCTTCCTTCCTTCCTTCCTTCCTTCCTTCCTTCCTTCCTTCCTTCCTTCCTTCCTTCCTTCCTTCCCTCCTTCCTTCCTTCGACCCCTCCAATCTCTTCCAAGGCTTCTCTGCTCTGCTGGCTAGCCTGAAAACCTGTGAGCAGAGAACGTGAGGGGTCTTCAATACCTGTGCCTCTCCCTGGATTCCCAAAAGTCCCATCTCCGCTTCTCCATCTCCGGAATCCAGTCATGACGACCCTGGGATCACCGCCAAGATTGCTGGCCAGCTGCACTCACTGCAGTATTTAATGGGAAGCAGTTCATATACCAACGCTGAAGACATGGGCTGGTCTATGGGTCACAGTGGCCTTTACTGCCCTACCATTGCTACTGTTTTTGTGCAGCAGCTGCAGCCCTACGTCACACTGCTAGGTGGGAATCCTTTCTCTTTACAATTCCTTGAAGCCTGTAACTATGACCTAAACATGAGTCAGAAAACTCAGCACCACTAAATCAGCACTAAGTGCTCTTCAAAAGACAAAAACTAGCAAATGTTTGGGACTAGTTTGTCGAAGCTTCTGAAATGGGTGGAACCAAGTCCCAAGCAATGACTGAGCCAGTGCCATGGTAAGATTACAGCTGTTTGTTGATTTCACTGTTACTCCCAGAAGGCTCACCTGGATTCCGACCGGTGGCTCAGACCCTGGGGTGGCCAGGAGCAGTGCTGACAGGTGAAAGTAGACCTCGGGGGACTGGATACAGTTGCTCAGCAATGTCTTCAGAGCCACAAATCCAGACTTCTTGTATAAGCTGGGCTCGGGTTTCTGGGAGCCATTCTTTAAATTGTCTTTATAAAAAGAGAAAAAAAAATTATCCCCAAACTCCTCAGAAATGGCTTCAAAATATTGATCAGACAGACCAAATCCAAGTGAAGAATGATTCAGCAAGGGAATTCTGTAGGTTCCTTGCTTGATGTTCTCCAAAGAAAGGCATGGAAAGACATTTGTTAGATCGGGAGCACCTTTCCCCACACCATAATTTGCTCACTGTTTCATGAAGCTTACCAGATCCTAAAAGAGTCCTCAGGTTCCTAAAAGACCTAGGAACAAGGGTCACTCCCTCCTCACCCCTCCCCTCCTCTTCATGGATGGCAACCTTGTTTCTTCAGCTCTGATCTGCTTAAATTACAGCTCTCTTATTTTCACAGATCTATGATTTAATAGCAGTTTACTAACCAGAATCTTAAACCAGGATCAAACTGTGGTTCAAGATGCTAATTAACAAACCAACATTAAAAGATGGTTTCAACAGATTTACCTAAATCACATTTCTTATACCTAAACATGGGTCTGAACACAACTTGTAGCATATTTTTGGGCTTGCAACATGTTCCATAAAGCAAAAAAAGTTTTCAATAACATGCATATATGAAAAATGTGCACAAACATACTTTAATCATGGTATGAAAAATGCATTCGAATTTCTGTATATTCTTTCAAAAATTGTAAGCCCAATTAGAAATTTGATGATCTTGACCTCAAAAACTGACCACCTCAACTTCGACAGATCCCTCCAACCCTTATCATAATAGTCCAACATTATATTATCATTAGCTTGCTGAAAACCATATTTCAGGCCTAGTTCCTAATAAAGGAATAGAATAACACAATAATTGCATGATACTGTGACCACAGTGGACAACAAAAAAGTCAACCCCCCACCTTGCTTGCTCTTTTTTCCATGTCAGAAGTCCTAGGAATCACCACAAGCTAACATTTTCATTTTCTATGTTTTCACTCTTTCGCCAAAGGAGAAAACACACGGAGGTAGGTGCAGGCTTGAGAACTTGCATCTCCCCCAGGTGAGTTTCCCTTCAGATGTTACAGGGGGCATGGCAAGGATCCGGGCAGGGGTGGCAGAAGGCATTTCCGGCAGCTAAGCTCCAGCTTGCACCTGGCTGAAGGCTTCCTCTCTCTTGACCTCAGGACTCCAACCCTGCTACCGTTAGATCCCTGATCCACAGAAAAGCATCCACTCACACTGCACTCTGCTTGGAGCTTGGTGTGCTTAGGACTTACCCATTAAAATATCCAGGCCCATCCTGCTGTTTCCAAACCAGGTGCTGGCCATCTTGCTCTCTCTGAATTTCTGCAGGAGCGTGCGGTTGTGCAGGAAGAAGAGCAGCAGCTTGACTGCCAGCACGACTGAGCTGGAGTGCACGTGGCCTTGAATGAACATCAGGAACCAGTCCGGTCCCATGCACAGAAACACATCTTCCTGGTTCCTGCATGGGGAACACCTCCGTTAAAAGACACCAGGCACTTTGCCCACTGCACTACACTGCTGACTTGGTTTGCAGTGGAATCAGAAACCTGGAACAGCTTGCAGGCTTCACAAATGCTTTGTTCACGGCCCCCTGAATGCCTTCAGAAAAATGTCTTGGCCTGAGGTCAGGGAAGTGAGGCAGAAGCCACTTCGTGGTGCCCCTTCCCTCTACTAGCTACCACCCAAAATGCTTCTAAGAATAGCCTTATCTGGGGCAGGGGGGGTGGTTGGAAAAAGAGTCAAATTAGGCTTGATCTGAAAGAAGGTAAATTGCTAAACAGAGGAAAAGGCCAGTGAAGAAGAGATGGAGAATAGATGCCATGCAAATCTGAGTTCGGCTGATATTTTGCCAGCCATCCGGGCAACTGGAAAAAGTTGTCTGCACTGAGCTTCTGGCTCCCTGCCCTGCCACCCCTCTCTCATCTCCCTTGTCTTTTGCAATGGTGAACTTGAAGGCAGGGAGCTCCTGGCTCTGGATGTGTATAAACTATTCTGAAAGCCTTCCATCTGAAAAGGAGGCTTTTTAACCATTGTAAAGTTGAAAAATGGCCCGATTTAACACTTTCACCTAATGGGAGGATTATGCAGCTTTGGAAAACACGTAACTTGTGTGTTCTTTTTCCTTTTCTTCTAGTTCCTTTTCTTCTGGTGCAACTGTTTGTGGTTTGTGCCACTTTTCCATTCACACAAATCAAACAGAGCCACACAGGACAGCAGAAAATGTGATGCCAAGATCCAAAATCAGGGCCAACGTGAATCTTGCCCGGTTGTAAATCTCTCCTGGGCTCCATTCCAAGGATTCTGCGATCTGAGAGAGGCCTTCCCTTGTGGGAAAGAGGGACCAGCCCAGCAAAGGGGCTGGTGCAAGCTGCAAGCCCATGCCTGTGGACATCCCCTGAGGGTGATCCCTCTTGGAGAAAAGCCCTAAGCGAGGGCCCGTGTCCCACAAGGGGGCTTGCTCCCCTTAAGCCTGCAGCTCGAGGACCTGGGGGCAGAGGCCTCTGTGAACCTTCTGCTCTGGATCTGACAATTGTGCAGTCAGAGCACAGCAGTTACTGGGCAGCCCAAACACCCGCGGCCCATTCAAGTATATTGTGCTAGACACAGGGGAAAGAAAAACGCCTTCAGACTTGCCTATGAAGGTCTTTCTCCCACTCTTTGCTTCTGTCCACTCTACTTTTCCTTCCTGACGCTGTTCCTCTCTCCTCCCTAGCCACCACGTGCCTATTTAGGGCCCCTGTGTGAGCTCCCTCGCATGGCAAAGCCCTCTCCCAAGCTCCCTGCCCATTCTCCTGGCCGCTCCGGCTACACTTCCACATGCCACATGCCTTGTGAGCTTCGGGGAAGCAAGCGAGCACCGCTTCCATCTGGACACGCTCGCACATGCCACAGGTCTGCTTTGGGGCTTGTTACAGAAAGAGTCAGTCCTGGATTGCAGAGAAACCCAGCAAAGGTCACTGCCATCCTGGCACTCCGTCCTACTTACTCGGATAAGACATGGCATTCATCTGAGCGCATCACATCCAGCAGCACATTCAGTAACCGGTTCCGTAGCCAGATCATTTTCCCAGATGCTTGACCTGAGTCTAAAAGTCCGACAACACAAAGGGGAGATGCGTGATGTTCCGCCCTGATGATCAGTCCCACTTAAACCTGTTGTCCCGCTGGTGCGTGAGTGGTGGAAAGTGAATGAGAACCAGAGATGTTTTAAAGCTGACACACTCCCGGCACCTCAGAGGAGTGCGCTCAGAGGCACGGTTTCTGTGCCTTCAGTCCTGCACTGCAGGAGTGAGGAGCCGCCAGCCAGCGAGCCTCACCCACCCGCGGAGGGTCTCCCTCCGCTCCCCAGGTCCGCCAGCTGCTGCCTCTGCTCCACGGCAGGCCTTCCCCCGGGTGACCATCGAGTGGCAATCAGGAGGGGTAGCGGATAGGAGGGGGCCTGGCCAACGCCAGGAGGGGCAGGGCCTCCCAGAGCGGGCCGAACCTGTGTGTGAGTCACGTGCCCCAATGCAGCAATGAAGCGGAAGACACGGCCGGCCACGAGGGAGGGCCACAACAGGGGCCCGTGCCTCACCTGGCAAGGGGAGCGGTGAGGAGTCGCCGGCCATGCCCACCGCCTCATCCAACCCATGAAGGACCTGCCGGGGGGGCGGGCAGCTTGCCCTGGCCACTAAAGGGTGCTTCCCGCTCCTGCTGTGGGGGTCGCTTAGGACAGACTCCTGCCGTGACGCTTGGGACGGGGGATCGTGTCCTTCCACTGAGCCTGGAGCATTTCCAGTGGAGCAGCCCTCCTTTCCCAACAGTGCTCGTGCCGAAACACCTGGTGGGACGAGGAGGAGGGGCAGGGCGAGCTGTGCCACTCATGACACTGGGGGCGCAGAAGCACTTGCTCCGTAGCCTGGCAGGCAGGAGGCCAGGAGACGGCCGTTCCGTGCCAGGCCGCCCTTGGGCAACCAGGCCACATTGACGGTTCAGACAACCTCACGACGGCGCAACGGGATGCGTTCTCCTTACCGTCTCCTGGCGCTTCTGGGGTCTTATGCAGGCAGATTTGATTTTCATCCACAGAGGAAGGGTGCAGGGTGTAAACCAAGAACAAGCTGGTCCTTTCGAAGGAAGAAAAACAAAGAGAGTTTCAGCACCATCGCCATTCCAGCTGCACCCCGACAACGCTTTGAGTGAGCCTCCCAGCGCTGCTGGAAGCGAGTCTGGATAGATGGCGGCTCTTTACGGCAGAGCCCTGCCACGTGGGACCCACTTTCGTCGCAGGGTGTGCTGCTGTCTGAAGAGGCAGACTAGGGTAGAAGCCTTGGATCGGAGGCAGCACTTGCCCTCCGCTCCCGTGTCCTGCACCCCTGACCCTGCCCAGTGACCACACATCCGCACTACCGAGCGCCCCCTCTCCTCTGCCCCAGATCCTCCCCCTGGGCTGCCCCCCCCCCCCCCCCCCGCTGTGCTTGGCTCATTGTGGCGCCCCACCCCTCTCCTGTGGCTCTCACCCACTTGCTTCCACCCCCACCTGGCTTGGCTACTCCTGCCTCAAACTGATCCCATGTTGGATGGGTCTGCCTGGTGTTTCCTGCCATCCTAGCAGCTTACGGGAGATCAAAAGGCATCCCTGCCTTCCCCACGATGAAGAGTGAACTCTGCACTATGCTGAAAGGCGCACGCTGTTTCCCAATCGCCCATGCAATCCATGGGCAGTGTGTGAAGGACACCCGATCGCCCAAGGGATTGGGTGGCGCAACTTTCCTTCCTTTGCTGTACTGCAAAGTGCTGGGGAAGATGGGACAATGCCTGGCTGCTGAAGCAACACAGGTTCGCACTCCTCCTCCCACTCTTCCTGCAGCACAGCGAGCGCGCTTGGCCCGCTCCAGGGCTTGATGCAAAGGGGGACAACCTGTTTTTGCAGTCTGCAGCAAAGGCTGCACAGCGAGGGCAAAGCTTTGCCTTCGACCTGGTTCACATGGAAGGTTTCTCCTCAGGAGTGCAGTGCATTGGATCAACAGCAATACCACAAAATATCTGTGATCCTGAAGCATCTCTGCAGCAGATGGGAGAGGACTGCGCAGATGCGGCTGATGCGAGAGCACGTGACCTCAGGGTCACTGAAGAGAAGGAGCAGCTTGGGCACGACCTCCGTCCGGGACACCACCTCCGCATTCCAGCTCCCTGGTCTGCAGCAGACAGAGAGATCAAGAAAAGCCTCTCAGGAAAGGAAACAGTGGGAAGGGACAGGATCATTCCCTGCTTCTGGACTTCTGGCATCGCAGTGACAACCTATTCAAACAGACAATCAATGGGATTTCAGCATCAGCCAGAAGGGGAGAGTCGTTGTCTTCATTTCCCCTCTTGCTCTTCACCCCCACAAGAAGTGACCCATCTTGGACAGTTCGGATCAAACACAGTTATTGACTTCTGGAGCCACATATTGGTGGAAATAAATGCTTTTCTTATAAAAGTCAGGAACAGGCATTAACAAAATCCTGGGGGGCCTTTTAATAAAAAGGAAATGGCATCCGACATGTTTTCTGTTTACAAAGCTTGAGTGCATATTTGGCACTTAATACACAACCAATCTGGGTTGTGCTGACTAAGCACTTAAGGGTATGTTTTATGAAGTCCAGCTAAGAGCAAAACTACATATTAGAACAAACATTATGTTTAAAAAGCATGCTTAAGCTGCCACTTTTAATTCGAAAGAGAAACTGACAGCAGGGGCCCAATCCGGTTCCTGCCCAATACCTCCTGGGCTGCTGTTTGCCCCCGGGTGCGGTGCTGGGAATGGAAAATTGTGCTAGGATACTGGCATAGGACCTTGCTCCAGATATGGAGGCCTTGCAGCTGCTATTCTGCATCCAACTGAAGCTTATTTTTCTTTTACCTTTTTTTAAAGAGAGCATATTTATGATACCAACTAATTCATCTAATCCAGATCAGTTGGTGAATGGTCTCTTATGTCCATCCCTGCTCTGAAAATGAAAGGTAAAAAGAACCCCCTGCCCTGCCATTACTCCATTAAGGTTGAGGAAAATGGAGTGTAGGAAGTTATGTCACTGGAAAAATGACTGCGGGATTTTAAGACATTTCTGTTTGAGAACATTTGTAGTGCCTATTTGGCCACTGCATCCAGACTGTCTCAGCTTAGCTCAAAAACATGCATACACTGTGGATTTTAGGATTTCCATGAGGTATGTGAAGAGACAAAGGTCCAAGTTCTCGGGAGCATGACACCAAATCTGGAAGTTAAAAGAAAATAGAACATTCAGAACTCTTAAATGTTGTGTCTTGTGCATAAGCTAGATAGCCATCTTAGACTCAGATCCGTACTTGCCACTGCTCCCTGTTTCTACTTAAGTTCCATGGCAGAACTATTATATACAGTCCTAAACCCAACTGGCAAAAATAGAGGTATCTGCCTTTTCATCTTTATTTTGGAAGATACATTACAGAATAATATTTAAGTATTTTTGCTATGTAAAAATGCTTGAGAAGAATTCACTTAAACCACTCACATTTTAAGTAGTTCTGCCAACGATTTGCAATTTAATTTGGCAACAGGATATTTGAATGTGAGCCTCAGAGGGATGTATTGCTACCTACTGGAAGAAGTAGGAGAAACGTTGTCTTTTGAGCATTACCGCTGGTACCATTAAAGAGATGCGGGGTGGGGTGTGGTGAGGTGGGCTTAGGGCTTGGGCACCTTTTCAATCCTTCAGGGGAAAGGGACATTCTTAGACAGGCTGTTCTCCCCACTTCCTCCGGCACGCAGGGATGTCCATAGAGGCTCGGACTGCCCTCGCTCACGGGGAAGCCACCTAGTTCCACATCTGTCCCTGCCTAACTCCAAGGTGGTCAAGGCTATGGTGGATCACCAAGCTTTCCTTCAAATCGCACTTTATGGGCCATGGATTTTCCACCTTTCCTCCTCTTCAAAAGCCAGTGAAAAGGGGTGCACAAACAAGGAAGAGAAACATCCAGCAGGCTTCTTTCTGACTGCAGTCCTGAATCTTGACCCCATGAGGCCCATCTCGGGTTCTCATGCAGCTCCCTTGAATGTGTTACATTTCTCTGTATGCAAGGCAAACATATACCACCATAAAAACATATCATAAAAGCACTTTTCCATCCTCACCTCAAAGTCGCAGATAATATGTCGGAACACCCCCGAATTTTTAATAGTTGGCGAGTCCAAAGAGGTCTCTGCAATGCCCCCCATGGAGAGGACAAGTTGCAGAATTCTGCTGTTTAACAAATGGGTCTTCTTCTTCAGCAGGTATGCTAGCATCTGCATGGGAGGTGGCGGATAAAAGAACACACGGAGAATCACAATACAGAAGGGGGAATGTTTTTCCCAGCTACTACTGATGAGCCCTCAATACCCAGCTTCTTCCACTGACGTCCTTGCACCAGACAAGACGGCTCAGTTCTTTTATTATGTCACTGTTTCTTTGTCTCCTCACACTGAACAGAAAGGAGGGATTTGTCTGTGTGACCACAGGTGAGAACAGACATGCTGGGCACTTGGCCTGCCTGCATGATCAGGGCCTTGCAGAAGCTTCCACAGCCCTTTGGCTTTTCTACATTTTATTGTGGAACTGAAATGGCTTTAATTAGCATTGTTGGTTCCCAGTGTAGGGTGTAAAAGGAAAACTGATCCACTCAAAACACAGTGCTGGGGGAGAGCTTTGCAGAATCCCTGGACTGACGGAAAGATGAACAAGGGGGGTCTTAGATCAAGCCACGCTTTCCCTGGAAGCAAAACCACCAGAGGCAATCCGAGGCTGCTTGGAAAACATAGAAGATTTGAAAATCCTGCTGATATTTCATTGGAATGTGTAAGTCCAGAATTCTAGATTCCATATTTGGATCAACATTCAAACTGGTAGAAGGAAAGAATGTGGCCATCCACATTGGAATAAAACTCCACGTAAGCCTCAAAATCCAAGTTTCAGCTTCCCCGCCACCCCACAGGAGTATCCAAATGGTGCATTTCTAGAATTATAAGCTGCCCATTCTCATTTTAAGAATAAACATTTGGGGGGAAATCTCTTGATGTTTCAGCCCAGTTGATTTTAAGAGATGGTGGGAAAAGACTTAGCATCTCACCTGGTACCCACTGATGTGTTTCATGAGATTTTCACTCATGGCACTGCTGCTGAGGACGGAGTGCAAGACTTTGATGGCAGCGTACACCGCGTGGTCATCACAGGCCACCGCAAGGAGGCCCAGGAGAACTGCGGGCCCCCCGATGTAGTTGAGGCTAACAGCTGCCGGGCAGGACTGGAACACCCGCGTACCTGTGAGGATTGCAAGAGAACCCTGTGTCAGCAACTGGTCTGCAGAAGATGGCAGCTTCATCAAGGTGGATGCAACCAGAATAAGGGGAGCAGGTGTGTGCTCTTTGGAGGCATGCTCAAAACCACCAGAGGCGATGCAAGGCCGCTAGGAAAACATAAAAAAATTGAAAATTCTGTGGCAGGATTCAAAGGTGCCCCTCTCGAGCAATCTCACTAAAGGAAAGATACAAGGCAAAACCGATAGTCACATCTTAACACAGGAAGAAGCTATTTCTACCTTTCCTGTGTAACAGCAGATCACATTCTTTGTCATTTCAAGTACAGTTTTTATTTGTTTGATCCAAATAATTGCTCTAGGTTGTCACCAAATGTGCTTCTCTTAGAGACATGTGCAAATTTATTAGATTTCTATCCTGCCCCACTAGCCACATGGCTTTCTGGGCAGGTTACAACCATAAAATTGTACAAAAACCATAAAAACACATGCATGCTCATTAAAAGGATTTTTTTTACCTTGGGAGTCATGCATCTGTGGCAAACAATCCACAAGTTTCTTCAAACCATGGGGAATATTTATGACACAAGCACTAATCAGAATCTATGCATATCAAATCGGGGAGAACAAGCACAGTAGAGCAATCACATATTCAAAAATCGGTCATGTGCAGGTTGCTAACCCTAACCCTTCCCCCAAGAGCGCGTTGGTGAGGATTAGACTTGGCTGCAGCCAGCCATCTCCCAGCGGGGGTTCCCTGCCCACATGCATGAACGGAGGAACGGTTCAAACACCTGGAGTGGGCAGAAAGAGCTCAACGGGCACCTCAGCCCAGACTGGCGAGCACAGCAGGGCCTGTGAGTGCCACAGAGGTCGTTTTTCTTCTCCCTCGAGCGCATCCTGCATTGGTATTTTGCAAAGGACATTGCAGGTGTACGGCCCCCAATCTGAATTCAGGCCCCTTACTGGGAAGTAAGGAAGGCTGTCCTCCATATGAGGATCCCCGTCCAGACTGAAGGCTATGTGCCTGCCCCACAGTAAATTGAAGGCAGGCATGCTTTGCCCTTCAGTTACAGCAAGTCTTCAGAGGACACTTACAGAATACAAGCATAGCCAACAATGCAAAAGAAAACACCCCATAGACCACGCATTAAAAACCACAACCTCCTTGCAGGACACAGTCCTTTGCCGTTCACCTGCATCCCCGCCTCGCCTTCAGTATACCTTTTCACGTGCTCTCCCGCTCAGGCCCATCCTCCCTGCTTACCATCTTGGCCCACTGTAACTGCTCCGATGGTCCTCAGGGTGCCAGGAAGTTTTCCAGCGGTATTTTGCACCAGGAAAACCGGTGTCGTGCCGTCACGAGAGGAAAGCCCCAGCTGAAAAATTTGGCAAATGTAGTCATGGCAGGAGAGACGCCTACATGGTCAAGCAATTCTGAAAAGTCTTCCACGCCGTGCTATGTGACTGTGATAAGTGGCGCATTGACCCAGCCTGGCCTGATTAGCTCAGCTGGAAGGGACTCGTTGCCCTAACAACCAAATTAAATCCACACAGCCATGGAAGGACACTAGACTCAAAGGCCCCATCGTCCCTCTGCACCGGTGTGTGAAAGCGGCCCCGAGAGCAGCACAGGCGAGTGCACGGTTGCGGGTTTGGCAGCAGGGAAAGGGGGCGGGCAGGAATCCCTTCTCCCTTCACTTAACAAGTCGCTGTAAACTAGAAATGAACCACTGGACGTTCTCCAGAAAAGGTGCAATGGAAGAAGCATCCGCCTACCTCCTTCGCTATGAGGCGGCCGTCCACTTCCCCATAGCAGTCTCTTATATCCTTGACCGTGGTATAGGATGAGCTCATAACACTGATTCCAAATGAAATATTCTCCTGGGATACCAGGGTCACTGTCCGTGCATGGAGAGGAACTCCTGCTCCTACAGGAAGACCGGCTGGAAGAGGAGGGATACTGTGAGAGCCAGGGAGGGTGGCTTCATTTGATTCTGGAAGGAACGATGCGATGCCAGTTATTTGCAAATATCCCATCCTTTCCCATCACAAAGGCTGAGGCAATGTTCTATAGGGCCAACTTCATTCAGTATTTTTCCTGTGAATAAAGTTTCCGCTGTCCGCATGGATTGACAAATATGTGGACAAAAGAAAGTTATAAGCTATGTCACGAGAGCAATTCCTGCCTTGCCCTCCCGAATCCCAGCAGCTAGAATGATGGCGGGTTGTGTCGATGCTTGTTCAAATTTACAGACCACATTTGTCTTTTTGAATGCATGTCCAATGAAAATTGGAACTTCACATAAAGCAGGGTAACATCATGGGACTTGGCCCTTCATCACTATTTGGGCAAATTTTGCTGGTTCGTTTGTGTAAATAGAGCAACTTGGACATCCTCTCCAGACCTCCAGCATGTCGGTCTTCAGGGCAACATGAGGAGCAAAGATTAGGTGTTCCAATGTTGCGTCCAAGTCTGAAAGGGGACAAGCGCCAGATGTTCAAAAAACACCCAGAATGAAATCCAGGATGGATTGCAAATTCTGATAATGAATGAGAGCAGGAATCAGCAATATGGAACCATCCTTCAGATACACTGGAATACAACTCCTATTAACCCCAGGAAGCGAAGCCAGTGCCGGGAGAATATGGGATCTACTGCCAAAACATCTGGAGGACATCAGGTTGGCTAGAATATAAATTTTCTCCATGAAGACAAAAATTATGTGTCTAGCAGCTCCAAAACTGAATTCATATTTTTGAAATGTGACTACTTCATGCAAACAGGGGGGAATATAGACATTTATTTAAAATGCATGTTTCAAACCAGCCACATCATATTAGGGTCAGAGAATTAAGATGCAGGATGTGAGTATGCTGGGATGTTGCAGTTGGCTACAGTGGATTCTATGACGTGTTTATTTCTGCGAGAATCAGTGCCTTGCCCTTCTAATACATATGTATCATTCAGAGTGGCTCAGGATGATTTATGGCCAAAACCAACTGGAACCAGCCTTTTATGTCTGTTTCTTCTTGAAGTCCCAAAGATTGTGGATCTCAATTTCCTGCCCTGTTCCAAAAGTTGTGCAGAGAAGGATGGCCTCTCTCAGCTGGACTTGCTTTTCCTGCTATAAAGATCCAGCACAAAGCAGAGAAGGGCAGCACTTCCATGGCAGGGAGTGAGATGCGCGTGCTTTTCAAGACAGGGCCGAGTGTATAAAGAGAGCATCATGGAGCGCTGCCCCTCTTGACCGAAGCCTCTAAGGGAATGGCCACAAAGCGGGTGAAGCGCTCTTTTACCTCTAAGCTCTACAGCTTGGAAGTTGCTGCAGTATCTTGGCCCAAGCTTGACCATTAGCAGCAGAGCATCCATGGAGATAACTTCTTCGAGGAAATACAGAGGCCCCTGGCGCCACGTCAAGGAAGACTTTGCTTTCCAAATGGGTGGGGTGGCCACATATCCATAGACGTCAACAAAGGAAGATGGATCCATGGAAACAAAACCCCCCGGAAGGGGCTGGATATACTGCATCTGCAACAGAGAAGAGGAATTGCAGGAAGGAATGTAATCTCTGCCTGAATCCAAGACCTAGGAAGAAGACTGAGCCGTAAGCCTTCCCTCAGATGTCTATTCTTCTATTTTTAATAGGATCATCTCACAATGGAGCCTATTACCTGGGGAAGTTGTGGGCTCTCCCTCATCAGAGACATTCAGAAAAAGTCTGCACAGTTATCTGAGTGGGATGGTGTAACTTGGTGTCCTGCAATACCAGAGGGTTGAATCCAGTGGCTTTCTTGGTCCTTCCAGTCTACTATACTGTGATTCAACCCAAGGAGACCTCACCCTGCCTAAAATGAGCCAGGAGAGGGGAACCAGGAGAGATGGAAAGAGCAGAAGTCAGGATCAAAGAGCAAGTTGCCACCGAAAGAGAAACCAGGAGGAAGAATATGGCCGAAGTTAGGACAGCGAGGTGACCGCGGAAGCACGATCAAGAAGCCAGATGCAAACAAGACAAGAAGCATAAGCGCGCATGAAGACCTTGATGCTCAAGCAGAAATGAAAGAAAACAGGAAACTCTCTTGCAGTCCCTTCCTGTCTTCGGGTATGAAAAATTAGCCTGAACGAGTGGGCAATCCAGGACCAAGGCACGGAACTGCAGCATGTTGTTCGGTGGCTCCCCATGTCCTGAAGCACACTAAACCGAAAGTTTCCCAGGCTGAGCCCCAGCACCTCCTGCTCCTCGGTCGTGATAAGCCGAACCTGAGGCACCATTTTCCCAGATCTGCTAGAATTCTGCGTCTGAGCCTGGGCCCCCTGGACGTGCTCAGCCCGGGCCTCGCTCCGAATTGGGAAGCCAGTTTGTGTGGGAGGGGCTGGGGGCTTTGGCGATAGCCAAGAGGCCCATCAAAGGCCAGGAAGCGCTCAGCCACAAGCAGAGGCAACCCATGAGAGTTCAAGGTAAAACAAAGCCCCCAGTTATCTTAGCACCCACTTAATTATTAAAAGCTTTTCTAGCCCGTCCACTACAAGCATCTCAGGATGACTTGCAAAAAATGATTACAATCAAACTAACTCTACAGCATCCGACAACTGATATGCTAAAACCCCAGTTGAAATCAGTTAAGCGTTGAAATAAGGGGAAATAAAAAGGGTTTTGCCTGACACTAAAAAGAAAATAACCTCTCCCATAGTTATCTTAGCATGCGCTCATCTGAAGTGTGTAGTCAAGGCATGTGAGCAAAATAAGGTACCCTCTTAGTTCCAGTTCTAATACTAAAGAAAAAGAGGGGCAGAGACTGATATTACAGCAGTAACAGAGCTTATGTGGTGACCAGGTGCCTTATTCATCCGATATTGTGTGCTATAAAACAAACTTCTTCAGTGAATTGTGCAATGAGCAGCGGCTTGCAATCATGAGCTTTTTGAGTTGCTTATCTTTGCAGTAAAACATGGACATTCTGGAGTAAGAAAATCTGCATAATGTGTAATTTGAGCCTAACAAAGCAAAGAAAATCAAAAGGAAGACAAGAGATTGTTTTTTATTGTAAGCCATCCCGAGACGCTACAGGTGGGCAGCTTAGAAAAGCTTTTGATTCATAAATAAAATAAATAAATAAGTCGTGCACCAGGGTGCTGGTCCCAGACCCAGGTGTCAAGCTATTACCTTCGCAGAGCCAACCAGGCGCCCGTTGATATAGGCTGAAGTGGTACAGATCCGTTTCGTTTCTTTTGCCACTGTCACCACAAGGTGCTGCCACTGCCCGGTCACAAGCAGCTCGGAACACCTGAACTGGACCTGAGACAGAACGGACGGGACACCTTCGGTTTCTGGCTCCATAGCATCTGCAACAGCACAAATATGGGTTGAGTAACAGGCAGAAGAAAGGAGCACCTTAACTCCGAATGTTCCTGTGAAATATCACCTAGTTAAGGGAATGGCTTGGGTATCATGTGAAAGGAGCAGGCGATATGGGAGGACTCAACTCCCATTACCTTTCCCCGGATGGGAGATTTCACAGTGGCAGCAATGCGCCTCCGCTTGATGCACGCCTTCTGAGAGAGGAGGGTCTCAAGACGGAGCCCATACAGCTGCCCATGACCACATGCAATGGCATTCCGCACAGCACAATCATGCACATTTCCAACAGGGCGACACATGACATTGCTGGGCATTTTTCCAAGAATAGAAAGTGGCTGCATGGCTGGTCCGGGAACAGCAGCTTATTTCTTGTGCAGAAGTCCAATCATCCATCCAGATCTTCAGCAGCTATAGAGCTGTGCCCAGCAAGTTCAGATTCTGCCTGTCATGGGATCCCGGAAGAGCAGAGAGGGCCGTCCAGCTGCATCTTGAATGCCTCCACTGTGGGAGAGCCCAGAACCTCCCTCGCGCGTCCCTTGTCATACTGCTTTAACAGTCAGGAAGTTCTTCCTGATGTCTAGCTGGGTCTGGCTTCCTGGAACTTGGGCCCATTATTCTGCATCCTGCACTCCGAGATGATGAAGATGGGATCCTCAAAGTGCCCCCTTTTTGGAGAAAACTAAGCTCCCTGGAATAGCACCTTTCACTATGAAATTCCATGTATGAGTCAATCCAGCCTAGCTCTGGTAAGAACTGAGGGCATTGATGACCCTGGTGAAATAGCCCGATTGGAATATTCTCTGCGGTCTCCAGATGCTTTCTTCAAGAGGACTTGAAACTTTGTTCCTCAAAACACTGGGCTGGGGGAAGGGAAGCCTCTCCACCTGATAGCTCACTTTCTCCCTCCCAGATGGTGAGAGGGACCCTTCCTCATTCTTCCGTCTCCCTCCAGCTTCCCTCGGGAACACTGCCAGGACACCATGGCTGTCTGCTGTTGGATCTTCGGCGTGGCAAAGGGGCGTGTGGGCAAGGAATGCCACATCGGAGTGCTGCACCCGGCCCTGGGGCATTCCGTTTCCATCTACCTTGGGGGAGGACGCCTACGAAAGGCCGACAATGAGGGAAGCAGTGTCTTTAAGCACTCCGACGCCCAAGGAGGCCTGCTTGTTTTTGTTCCCTATCCTGCCTGAAATGGCTTTGGCTCTGGGCTTGAAAATCAGAAATCACAAAGCAGACCCAGCCTGCCAGAAACTGCTGGAATAGCCTTACAAATGAAGCCAGCACTAATAAGGCCCCGCCTCCTGCTGGAAGACAAGCTAGCCCTCGGTGCCTGCTTGCTGTTTGTCTGAAAATGCCAGCAAGCCATTTTTTGAAGGGCTGAAACCAGATGCCACCAGGTCTCAGGGATCCACGCAGTTACAGCCGGGCAGTTTCTTTAATGTTCTCTTACCGAGAGGCTGACATGGCACTTCCTCAGTGGAGATGGTCAGGCAGCAGTCAGTAGGAGAAAAGCTCACTGCAAAGCAGGCAAATTCTTCTTCTGTCCTTGCCATGTGGCGCACCAGAGTGAGGAAGCGCAGTGGGTGGGCCTGATGAGCAGAGCCCATCCTGCTGACCAGAAACCAGGAGCAGAAAGTCAGCCCGTCCCGCGGGGGGAACTCTCTGGAACCTGCAGCCAGAAAGCAATGAGTGGGTCAGGTGCGGAGAGCCACATGCCTGGGCCCTCCCAGCTCCGGAGGGCAGAAAACAAGCAGACAAGTCCCGTTATCGCTACCCCATGGTGGGAGAGCACCTCACTTCCAGCACTAGCATAGGTAAAGGGTTTGATGGAGGGCATGTAACATACTCTGCAAACACGATAACCGTCTAAGAGTTATACAACGAGCAATAGAATGACAACAGTAAGTCCTTCCAGGGCTAGAAATTAAAAGAAACTTGGAGGAGCCCACTCAAGCTTCCCCTGGGCAGGGAAAGATTCCCTTCAAGCAGGTCGGAGTTCCCCAGCATGGCACCCATGTACACAACCATGTGCGTGGACCACTCCTTGACCCTCCGCAGCCGCCCGGTCCCTTCTGATTCCTTTTCACAGAAGAGTTATGTTCACGATTGCTACTACTGCAATTAGGTATTCCACAAAAATATCTCTTAAATATTATTTTTACTGAGGGAATTCACTTCCAAAGACATCTTTGTTTCCAAGAGACCCAGAGGCACTATTAGGAAATAAAATTCAAGCGTGGCTGCAGCCAACAGCTTCAATTTGAAGTGTGCCAGGCACCTAAGAAAAGAAAAAGGTTGCAGGTGCCAGACTGGTAAGACAGTGGTGGAAGAGTAAGAAGTCAAAAGCAAGAGCAGGGGGAGGGAATCCAGAAAGGGAGGTGAAGCACTTTTCCTGCACCGTCTGTATTACTCGATTCCTTTCTGTTTGTGGGATGGGTAGCGTGTTTGCATTAGTTGCTTTTATTTTATTGGTTGGTTTTGGTGGTGTGTGTTATGCTTAGATTTTGTTTTGCAGGGTGTTCCCTGTGTCTTGCCTGGGTTTTGTGTGTGTGTGTGGAGGGGGGGGGAGGTCCGTTGTGCCTGCCTGTGTCTCCCCCAGTACCACTAGATGGCTGCCTGCAAGGCAGATATTTGCGGTGCCTCGTGAAGGCATGCGAGTCCTCCCCTCTATTTCCGTGTTGCACTTCGTGTCCTGGCCAGTTTACTCTGTGGCTCATCAGTGAAACGGATATTGCGGAAGAGAGGCAACTCTGTAAAAGAGGCATGGTGTGGAACTGGAAGCCCCCTTCTCCCATGCACTGCGGTTGGCCAAGTTACACTTCTCCTAAACATATTGTGTGCAAACATGTAGCAATATGCATATATTGTAAATGTATACCTTTTCCAGTTCCTCCAGAGATGTAGCATTCTGTGTTGGGGCCCAGAACCGTAGCCACTGTTGGGAGGAACAAGTAGCTGAAAAGGAGAGGGAAAGAGCCCGGTGCTGAGCGCCTCCGTACAGACAAACAAGGAAACCCCAGGAAAAAACGTGGGGAAGGTGGAAGCCAGAGACTCGGCTCAGGGCCACGCACAGAGGCAGCCCTCCATGCTCGGAGTGAGACATGGGCCGGGGGCAGCAGCCGACAGCCCCACAGCGCTCTCCAAAGGGGCGCTGAGTGAGCGTGAGCAGGATACGGGGCAGGGAAATGCACAACCCCCCTGGGGACAGCAGCGGAAGGGCCCACTTCACATCCTTCCCACCGGCAGGCAGAGGCATGCAATCCACTCCCTTCTGGAGGCAGGGCATGGGAAATATGAGTCTGGAGACAGAGGAGGCCAGTTCCAAGCTGGGGGACCCAGAGGCAAGAAGGAGCAAAGGAGGTACCCGTATCCCTCGCGGGACATGTCGAATTCGACAAAGGACGGTGGCAAGCAGGAACTCTCGGGCTGAAGGCTGCGTGGCGTTGTCATGGAAAGCAGGCATATGGCTGCTTGGAGAGCCACTGCAGAGCTGCTGTAGAGCCAGGGGGTGCCCGAGTCTGGGCGACAGTGGTGGAGATTCGTGGAACCGCTGGGCACTGCTGCTTCCGCCCCTGTAAGACACGCACGTGGCATCGCCTGCTTTGGATCTGTACGTTCTGCCATTCCAGTGAGGGCACCAAGAGCTCGGGGCGGTGGGAGCCACAAACACACCAACAGAGCATGTTTCAGCTGGGGGGGGGGGTTGATCCAAGGGCTAAGCAGTGTCACAGTGTCAGTAGGAAATATGACCATATTACAAATTTCCCACGCTGCTTTGAAATCAAAATGTGAACCCAGACAAGGACACAAAGGCGGCACCACACCCCCCGCAGGAGAGAAAAAAGAGCGTGTTCAAAATTTGGGTGCTGAGCCAGAGGCACGACGAGGCCTGGAGTGTCCCTTCCCCGGATCTCACTTTCCTCCAGGGCAGGCATTCCAATGGGATGCTGCCGTACCCCAGCGGGAGAACGCTGCCCTCAGAGAAGGGTCCGTGAGGCAGCACCATCCTGCGACCTCCTTCAGAGCAGGGTGGCACGGTCAGCTGTGTGTCTCACCTTCCTGCTGGGATGCTCGAGATGGGCCACTTTGGCGGCTCATGGAAGGTGTGGATGGGCTTCCACAGGGCGTGGACACTTCTGGCAGTGGCACTGTTTGGAGGAACAGAAACTGTCTGGAAGAAGCAAGGCAAAGGAACGGAAACTCAGTCACGTAATCCAGCAAATATGGCAGGAACCTTTGGCTGGGGCAGCTTAACCCAACTAAGGCACCACCACTCCAGCCATTCCAACACTCTGGCTTGAAGTGACTCCTAAGAGATTGATCGTCCCTCAGTAATTTTATGTCCTGCATCTCTATATCTTTCCGGCTATTGTTTTCCCAATTCTGGCCGGGAGACAGACCCATGGAGGCAGTGAAGCAAAGGGTTAATTGCACAGGATTTCATAGAGCCAGATGCAGGGAGCTGGGTCCCCGTCAATCAACAGACTGTTCTTTGGCAAAAAAAAAAAGCACTTCATTTCCAACGTACATCCAGCAAACTAACAGCCAACCGAGGAAGGGCAGCTTTCGGCTGAGAGGTGCACCACTCCCTTGAGCAGTTCATGCAGAGAAGCCAGACTGTGCAAACACAGACTATGTTGGGCTTCCTGCCTTTTGCGTGGAAGACGGCCTTCCAGACGTCTGCAGTGATGCCCCTCTGCCATGGGAGTGGCCAGCGGAGGCCCTGCCTCTCCCAAGCATTTGAGCTGGGAAGGGGGGCCCAGCAGACAGTCCAAAGCCGGATGCCCAGCTTACCTTAAGACCGCAGGCTCAATAGACTGGGAGGCCAGCTTTTCGAAGAGCCTGATGAGAGGCAGGTGCAAGGGACTCTCCATATTGTGCAGCTCGTCCAGGCAGGAGACCACAAGTGTGTCCAGCAGACCAGCTCCACATGCCACTTGGCGACTCTTCTCCAGGCTCATCAAGGACTGAACGTGGTCAGCCACAGCGTACTGGATTTCCCAAGATAACTGAGAGAACCGAGGGCCAGTGGGAGGAAGAAAGATATAGCAGCCTATTAGCTGATCATAAGGACAGCCAGCCAGCCCTCTGGCAAACACAAGATACGAGGTGAAACAGAATCCCACAGGTGGGCTTAATTTGCAGCTGGTTTGCCACTGTGTGCGCAAAGTGCTGGACTGGATGGACTTCCAGTCTGATCCAGCTTGGTTTTCTTCTTATACAGAAGAACTGCTCAACGGAACTTAAGGTAGTCGTGACGGATTTCACTCTGATTTCAATGGTCTGCTTGAAGCGTGATTAAGTCTGGGCTCAACCCATTGACTTTCAGGGATAATGCATGTTTAGTCATAAAAAAATCCTACAAGTTCCAGCATCCTCCCAGCCAGTGATGCTCACTGGGGAAGACTTGTTTCTGCCTCAACATTCATAGGATTGTGCCTCTGAAGTATCGCATGGATGGTCGAATAGATCTCTTATGCTCAAATCCTCCTTGCTCTTCTGGGTTATATGGACTACCACCAATCCAGCGTCTGGAACCTATTGACTTCTGCAGGGATCCATATAGTCAGCAAACGGGGAATCAGTAACCCTCTGAATTTCACAGTCGCCAGTTAAAACATGGAAAACGATGGCAACAGTGATGCCTTCAAGGGAAAGTAGCCACTGCACTTCACATTAACCTTCGCATTGAATTTGTTCTTGGTAAAGTATTCAAATACATTGGTAAATATTGTTTTAACACTACCAATTGCCTCTTGGTAGTGTTAGAATTCCCATTTATCTACTAAAACTTTTGCAAATTAAAATAAAACGAATGGTGGAGTCGCAGGATAAGCTATGAAACAAACATGTTTTGGGAAGGTAACATGATCATGACTGACCATTTCCCGATTCTTTCCAGAGCTCTTTTGCACCACGGATGAGCAGCACGTGCTGCTCCATCCGCCTCCTGGTCAGGCTCAGTGTGGAAACTGCCAATAGCAGTGGCATCTGCCACACACGGCCAGACTTGCTTTGCCTGGGTGCATCGGCTCAGCCATGGCTGACGAACTGAACTTGCCAGAGTGCAGATTCAGGGGATCATGTCCCCAAACCATTCCAGTGTGAGAAAGCACACATATAGTCACTTATAATGCTTTTTGGACCTTAAATATTTCATGCCCTGATAATTATTTAGCTTCAGCAAAAAGAGAAAGAAAAAGAAGAACAAGGGCATGAGGGTGAAAAAAGGAACTACGTAGACCTTGGCTAAGTTACTCAGTACTTCCCGCCTAAATAAATTCGATGTAGCCATAATGGAGTACAAGGAATTGATTGCTCTCATTATGACAGCAGCCCTGCCAATAACAGGATTGCCTTGATTTGAATAAAATGTGCTGTTTTCAGGGATGTTCATTCCAGTAAAAAGGGGTTTTAGTGAAAAAAATAATAATGGTGACAGGAAGCGGGTCTGTTTCCCAAGCTGTTATGGATTGATTTTCCTACACATCACTCCCGCAATTCGTCAGGGATGCAGGAGGTGCAATTAGAAATCTGCAGACAAGCTCACAATTTTGTATCAGGATGAAGTCTAAGGGCAAAAGTGTCACTCAGCAATGTGCCGGATATTTTTAAGTAGTTCTTGTCTTTTCTGTGCGTGTCACAGCTTCATAGGGCTGGAAATTATACATTTCTCTTGGCTACAAAATATGTACACGTTCTTAGTAACTGCTATTTTGCATTTCTAGTAAATCCAGATTTATACGCTTGAGAGCCTTTGGGTCCCATGGAGAAGGATAGAAGCAAATAGATAAGCGTTTGTTCTTGCAGATACGTTCAGTCTTGCATATCTGAATGAGCTGACCTGATCTGCCCTTCCCAGAGTTACAGACCAGTCAAACTTTAGGCTGCAATCCTATGCATGCTTAACTGGGGTTAGTACTTATTTCCAAGCAACCTCGCCTAGCTACCTACTGGCTTTCACACGTCCCCGATGTGCCAACACTGCTCTCTAGTCTATGGCATGCAATCTGTGGGATTTTGTAATCAGCCAAAAAAGAACTCTGGAGCCCTTTCAATCAGGCAAAATGAAACCCAACAATGAAGACTCCAAAGGACTGTCAAGACAGGACTTACTTCTGGAGAATCCTCCTTGTAGAGTTTGGCGATGAGTCTCACCATGACACAAAGAGCTCCGGGGCACACGATCACCCAGTCCTCATTGCCTGGCCTACAGAGAAAAGGGACAAAGAGGCATCACTGTAAACACGGGGACATGCCCACGGCAAGGGACAAAACCCCTTGTGGATCAAATCCTCTCATCCAGCATCCTGCATTCAGCAGAAGCTGGTCTAGAAGCAGCCAGGTGCAGGTCATGCTGGCACCTGATACTCAGCGCTCCACTGCCTCTGACATGGAGGCTCCACTTAAGCACCAGAGTGTTCAGGTTGCCAGAGGGTTCAGCATCTGATACTGCAAGCACAGGCGGAGGGCTGTGGTTTGCAGTCCTGTCCATGGTGCTCTTCCAAGTGAACATGCGCATGGAAGCTCACAGCAAGTTAGTCAGAAAGCAGTTCAAAAGCACTGTCCCCACCACAAAATCAGATCATTTCCGTTCCATGCCATTTTTTTCAAGTATTAACCCAGAAACCCCCATGTCTTGTTTCAGTATTAATCTGCAAATTTAAAATATCTACCCACATATTTCAATATGGTTTTAAAAATTTCTCACGACACAATTCGAAACTCTTCGTAACTCAAAATATGCACTTTGCATGTATCTTGATACTTCTTTAATGGAGTATTTCATCACAGAATGCAGCACGCAAAATAACAGGCTCAAGTTACAGGAAAGCAGGTTCCGGCTGGACATCAGGAAGGGCTCCCTGGCTGTTGGTCAGGGGTTCCAACACCCTGCAGCTCCAAGGGAGCTTCTGGGCTCTCTCATAATTCAAGAGGCAGCTGGAGAGCCCCCAGAGGGATGGTTTACCTGGGAGTCCTGCACTGGGCAGGGACTGGACCCAGTGATCAAAACATTCCTGATTCTGTGATCAAGAATCAAGAGAGCCAGGGTGGCGTAGTGGGTAAGAGCGTGGGACTGGGACTCAGACGATCTGGGTTCTAGTCCCCGCTCGGCCATGGAGCCAACTGGGTGACTTTGGGCCAGTCACAGACTCTCAGCCCAACCTGCCTCACAGGGTTGCTGTTGTGGGGATAAGATGGATGATGTAAGCTGCCTTGAGCCCTTTGTAGGAAAAAGGCAGGATATAAATAAAAATATATAAATAAATAAAAATAAAAATCAACACATTCAAGAAATGCAAGGGCTTGTGGGTGGCTAAGCCCCATTTCACACAGTCCAGGAGCTTGGATCAATAGCAGGAATCTGAAAGATCAAGGCCTCAACCATTCCTGGCCCACAAGGCCATTCTGGGGTCAAGCGTATTCCAGACTACACAACTGGAATTTGGTCCCATGAAGGCAGTTTTTTCAAATATACAACAGCTCTTAAAGAAGCACAGCCTGATTTCCCTTCCCAAGAGCTGTGAGGGGCTGGGTTTCCGCCTCCTCTTCAGCATTTTGTTGAGGTTTTATTTTAATGTTATGTTCTGCTGCATAAAGGGGGGTTTCCAAAGCATACTGCTTCTTGATTCTCGATAGCCCTGTTTCAACCACCAGCCTATTCGCACTTGGACCACCCAAATTCAGTGTTGAAGGGAATGATAAAAATGTTTAACATACACTAGATGATGCTCGAGCAAAAACAAAAAGGGAATTTAACACACGAAGAAATCCCCGAAGAATATAGAAGGAGAGGTTAGATGAACGGAAAGGGGGAAGAATTCATTAGCTGGAAGAGACAAAGAAAAATACCAAGATGGAAAGTAGAAACAGGAAAAGAATTAAAGACCATCATGAAGAAAAAGCAGAAGGAAAGGATGCATTTGCAATCCTTTAAAAAATGAAATAAGTAGAAAGCCAGATAACTATTTTAAAGGTGACAGAATTCCATTCATATGGGGATATGAAAAAGGAGGTTTGAAATTAAGAAATACCACAAGAGAAGTGCTTGAGCTCAGCTGGATGAAGGAAGAAAATAGGTAAGTCTGAAGAGACATAAAGCTTAAAAGAAGTTTGAGCTTAATAGAAAACAATGCATCTGGCAAAGGGAATGTGTGCCCCTCCACATGTTCCCGGAATGCAATTCCCATCATTCCTCACCATTGGCCATGCCAGCCAGGGCCAATGGGAATTGGAATCTCAGAACTGCTGGGACACACGTTCCACAGCCCTGCAGCTGAAGCAGCCGACGAAGGGAAACAGAGAAAGGAATTGTATGTCTAAAGCATAAACAAGAAAAAATAAGCAAGAAAAACCCGGGAGACAAAATAAGATGAGGAGTAGGAAGAGAGATAAACAAAATGTTACAGCCTAGAATGATGCTCTGGATATATGTTTTAATTAGCTGTTAGCACCAGGTTTGCTACCGCAGACATAACAAAATGAGTAGGGACAAACCGGCAACTTCTTTCTGGGAGCACAAAGTGTGTGTCCTTAAGAAGAAATCAAAAGAACAAACAAAGCAACGTCCACCCTGACGTGCCCTCCCCAAAAGTTCCAGCAGCTTTTCTCATTGCCCCCTGCACTTCATCTGCGGGAAAAGACATTCATTCATATTCATTCATTCTATTGGTCGCTTTCGTCCAGCTCAGCTAAGATGGAGAAGACATTTCTAAGTAGATACGTACAGGGTTTGTTCTGTAAGTGAATTACACAATATTTTATGTTTGGTACTTAAAAAGTGAGTGGGGAAACCAGGAACTGTGTTTCTGCTACTAGTCACTGATTGGAACAAACTGGTGCTTCCTTCAGTTTTGCCGCCAACCTAAGGAACGTTGCTTCCCTTCCCTTTTTGGGAAGGGAAGAGGAAGCGGCAAGTACTCAACAACTCTCGATCCCGTAGGCGGTGCAAGAAACCAGATTTCCTTTCATTTCACTTCTGCAGTAGCCAAAGAAGAAAACTAGCCTTATGTCACCCAAATCTTGACCATTATTGTTTTCACACAGTACATTATACTTCCCCCAAATGGTGCTGGACTCAACTCCTATCCTCAATTCCAGGCAACCTGTCCATGGGCTTCTGGAGAATGCCTCAGCAGGAAGGGCTGTGTCATACTGAACACAAAATCCTTACAACTCTTATAGACACGTCAGAACCTTGTGTTTTTAAACAAGCTATTTCTATGTGCAGTCCCAAAATGCTAGCAAAACATGCAGTAGCTTTCTAATACTGTTGCTGACCCTCAGGAGGAAGCCTCCTAACTAACCATGCCGTGGCAGCCCTCTGTACATTTGCTCGCAATAAGCCCAGCGGGAGGAAAGGCCAAGCTACTCCGGTTTACTGTGATGCATTCATACCTCCAAGCACAGGAGGTGTGCAAAGTGGGCATAGGCGATTTATTTTAAAACACAAAAGCAACACCTGGCGGGACCCTCCAACCCAGGCCTTTCCCTCTGCAGCTGCTCCTTCCACCGGTGTCCTTCTAAGCCAGACTGAGCAGCTCCTGAGGAGCGTCCACCAGCGGAAAGGGGCGAGCAGGAAGCGGCTCTCACCTTGTAGAACATACATCCTTTTCACACTTGTCCTACATGTGAGCAACTGGGGGGGGGGGGGTTGCATTTAAAAGCACAGCTCAGCCACAGTCATCCGTTGCTTGTAACTTACCTATATGTTAACATATATGCAAATGAGGGTGCAAATTATAAGAAGAATGCCCAAAGAAACTGGGGAATAGAAATATCCTAATGAATGCATTGAAGCTCAAATACTTTGGCCACCTAAAGAGAAGGAAGGACTCCCTGGAGAAGAGCCTAATGCTGGGAACAATAGATGGCAAAAGAAGGAGGGGATGGCAGAGGATGAGGTGGCTGGATGGGGTCACTGGGGAGGTGGGTGTGGGCTTGGGTGGACTCCAGGGGATGGCGGGAGACAGGAGGGCCTGGACAAGTGCTACCCATGCGGTCGCAGGGAATTGGACATGACTGTGATTGAACAACAACAACAATCAGACCTCAAACTTTGGAAACACCAAAAATGTACCTGTCTTTGAGCTCTGGCCATCTGTTGGCAGCTGCTTCATTGCTGCCTACATGCTCGCAGTAGACCTCAGATTCTTCCTCCTTTGGCTTTGCCTCTTGCAAACGCACTGGGAGTTGATGTGCACCTGGCCCCGTGTCTTCCAAGAAGCTGCTGAGGTGGAAGGGGTTCCTCTTGGCCATGGAATCAAGGAAGCTGATTATCCTGATGCAGCTTCTTAGCCAGGTGGGGAGAAGCTCTGGTGAGCAGACAGCAGTGTGCAAAAACCCAGCAAATGTCCTTGGCTTGCTGAGAGACACAGGAGCCCGTAGTCCCTTTTGGGCTGAGAAGCAGCCAAGCAAGCCAAGTTCGTCTGCCATCTTTTCGAAGAGTTCATTCTTCCTGAAGAAGTCGCTATTGACCGGGTCCAAGTAGAGGGCAGCTGCTATTACGTGGAGTATATGCAGGACAAGCTGCATGATGCGGTCATGCTCCAGTGAGGCCCAGAGGCCTGCAGGTGGATCTCGCAAGGCGCCTTCCATGTCGGCCAGAAGTGAGAGCAGCCCGTTGAAGCCCGTGCTGGTCCTGAAAGCTGAACGGCCCCGGGGACTCTCCATCGTGCGCAGGAGAGACTTTGGAAGCAGGAAGAAACGAAACAAGTGTGTAAACTTCATTGAAAGTTTGCACAAACTTTGTTTAAAGGAAGATTTGGTTCTAGTTTTCACTGGAGTAGTAAACTTTTGTCTTGGCTGTATCATTCCGAACTATATATGTGGGTTTGCATGCCTGAATACTCCTCCATTTAAAAAATACCACACACCGCACACTATAGTTCGGAAATCAGCATGTCAGGGGGAAGCTATGTGCAGGGACTACTTTTGTGCAGGAAATGATCCGCAATGCGCTCCTCCCACACAGGGCCCAGATCCAAATCTGCTGCCCCAGTGAGACCAAATGCTGGGGACTGACAGCACTGGGCAATGTCAAGCCACCTGGAGGAGGACCAAGTCTGCCGTGTCTCCGTCTGAGCCCGGGGATGCTGCAGAGGGAGGGATGGGAGGGAGCCTGACGCAGGCTTTGCTATGGAGGAAGGGGCTCTTTCCAGAACAGCAGCTGGATTCTGCCAGTACAATATCCCACCCAGTGAAAAAGATGCTTGAAACAGCTTTTTCCAGCCAGCACCAGCCAAACTTTAGACTGGTCAGAGGACGAGCGAGTGGGAAAGCCTGAGGTCAGTTTTTCACCAGTGGCCGCTGAGCAGGACTGCTTCCCAGGGCCAGGATGCAGGAGGGAGGGGCACATGGCTGGAGCACCAGGGCCAGGTGATGGAGGCGGACGGAGAGCTTGGAGGCAGTGGGGCCAGAGGGAGCATCTGGAGCAAGTGAGGGGCAGAGGCAAAGCCATGCTCAGTGAGACTGGAGGAATGCAAAGCAGCCCAAACAGCTCTGGAAATCCTTTCCAAGGCCCCCCAGGACTGAATTGCTCTGGCTCCAACCCTTGCTGGTACCTACAGGCAGTTCCCCTCAGCCGGGTGGCCTCCAGCTGCTTTGGACTACAGCTCCCAACATTCCTGGCCATTGGCTGATGGGAATTAACATCCAAAGCATCTAGACAACACGAGGATGGGGGATGCCAACCAAAGAGAATTGACGCGCTCTGGATGGCATGGTCTGAGGCTCCGGGAGGACCAGCGGCACGGATGCCCCCATCTCCCTGGCACACGCCAGGACTCCCTGATGCTTGATCCCCTTCGCTTCTTGCTTCCCAGCAGCATCTGCCTGACCTGCCCAGCCTCACTAGGCATTGGTTGTCCCCGGCAACACATCCCTCATTAACACCCTATTAAGTCACACTCATGTTTTCAACACTCCGCAGGCTGGCCAAGACCCACAGTTTGGGAATACATTTTGACGGGAATGGATAAAACTGCAGCCAGATCGCCCAGAAAGCAATGCACCAGGGGGTGGTGGGAGGAGAACTCGAATATTTGCGGAGACAAGTCCGGATTCCCATCAATTTGCAGGAGGCTTCTGCTCCCCGCAGCCAGTGAGGCTCAGAAGGTCGCCAAATGGGAGGGCAGCTTCTCTGAAGCCCAGGAGGCAGCAAGGGGCTCCCAAGGTGTCATCCGGGCCGGCTTGTTGATGCCTCGTACTAGCAGAGACTCTGCAGACCCCTGTGAGCAAGGCCTAAATCTCATAAGCCGGACTTCAGCCTCTTCAAACGGTTTTGACACATATCTGAGGAGGTCAATCGTAACTGCATTTCTTTTGGCTCTAATTCTGGCACAATTTAATTGTATCTCCTTCTGGACTGAATTTCTGAAAGGTTTGCCTGCAGTGGAAACCCCTAACTTAGTTACAGCTAACAGGATTTATTTCCACATTGCGTTATTTGTTATTCCTCATAATTGTCTACCACATACCACTCTGGAATACTGTAAAACTAATCACATTTGAGCTTGGGGTTTAGCAGCTAAATATATATTAGTAAATCAATCTGAATTTGTGTGTAATGTAATCACAATCCCAAAGGCTATAGATAATACATAATGTAAGAAAATGAATTTATTAACACAGTTATAATTTGTCAGAATTAGGCACTAAAGCTGCATTTCTTTTCATATCAGTTGAGGGAAGCAACAAGCTTAGCATGAAAAGTGTGTGGGACCGACCCGCCCAGTCCTTGGTGGGTGGAAGGCACCCACGCATGGTGCGCAGGGCCTTGGGGGAATGCTGTTCGCCTGGATGCTCCCGGCCGCAGGAGCGCAGGGGGGCGTGGAGCAAGCATAAGCAGGAAACTCGGAAAATCTCTGCTCATAAACACCCGGCCCAGGCAGAAGACACGTGACTGGCCACGCAAGCATTTTGTGTGTGTTCTCAAGCTGCGGTTCAAGGGAAGTGCATTTTCCCGGTGCAGAATTTTCCAAGCATTCATTGTGCGGTGGGAAAGCAAGGGTAAAGGAGCAAGCCCAGCAATCAAGTGTTTGCACACAAGGAGAAAAAAATAAACGAACAAGAAGCCACTTTGACTGTTCACCTTCAGCAGATCCAGCTTGAAGTGCAGCTCTCCCGGAGTGGAAGAACAGAGGTTCCCAACGATGATGCTCATGTACTCTTCAGGGTTGATAACCGACAGCTGCTCCAGGATAGTCAGGGTGTGGCTCCGGAACAAGTCATCATCTATAAAAATCTTGATATATGGCACCATCCCATAATCTCTGAAAACCACTAAAAATAAGTAAATAAATAACGGGTTAACTGAGCCATGCTCTTACTCAGACATTGATGGAAAATCTGATCCAGATTTTTTAATACATGTCACATTGCATAGATTCTCCTAGCTTTGTTACAAGGGGGGGGCCACCTAGTTAATGGGATGGGTAAAAGAGATTTAGGGGTTACGGTGAATAATAATGGAGCATAAGGCCGTTCTGGAACGAAAAACAATGGGTTGTCCCAATGTTGATTGAGCTTGAGTCCCATTCATTTTGGTTCTCTACTCTTAAGTAGGTCTGATATTAAACACACCACTGTTGTTTAAAGGAAGCTTTAAGGCACCTTGACCCTAATGCGCCAAAACATGGGGATAAAATGGAGAATTTGGCAAGGCTGCTCCTGAAGAAAACTCCTCTGAACTCAGAAGACCCAAATAATGTTCAGTCATTGGCAAATGTTCCCTTCCTGGGCAAGGTCCTTGAGCTGGTTGGCCAACCATAGAAGAGTAGAGTTGGAAGGGGCCATGAAGGCCATCGGGTCCAACCCATTGCTGTTGCGGGACAATAATTTACACCATCCCAACCAGCTTCAGCCATTCCAGATGAGGATGGTTATTTGGATCCATTTCAGCTGGGGTTCAGTCTGGATTTTGGCCCAGAAGCACCTCCAGGTGATGACCTGTGCCAGGAGAGGCAGAGGGAAGGCAACCGTCTTGATACTCCTGACTCTCTCAGCAGCTTGCAATAGCATTGACCACGGTGTCTTCTGGGGCAACTGAGCTAGGAGTGGGGAGGACTGCACTGCAGTACATGGAGGACCAGCTCCAGAAGGTGGTGCTCACAGGGCACTGCTTGGCTGCAATCTCCAGTATGGGGTTCGCCATGGCTCCCCCATGCTATCCAACATCTACCTGAAACCACAGTGGGTTCATCCTGAGTTTTGGAGTGGGTTGCCAGCAGCACACCGATGGCACGCAGCTCTCCCTCTCCCCTTCCTCTTCACCGGCTGTGGACACACTGAATGCGTGCCTGGCTGGAGCAATGGGCCAGGTGAGGGCACACAAACCAAAGTTCGGTCCTGGCAAGACTGTGCGGCTGCTGACCAGTGGTTCCACGAACCAGGTGGAGGGGCTCAACCTCCTCCGAATGGGGCTGCGTCTCCCACACCCATGATCCCGCATCAGCCACCCACTAGGCAGACCACGGTCGCTTCTGTGCCAGAAGCGGGCCTGAAGCAGCATCCACGTGAGGTGGCACCATGGTCCACAGAGCCACATCACCCTTCTTCTTACCTGTGTTCCTAACAGATCCCACCACAAGGGCAACCACCATCTGCAGCATCGTATTAACGAGCTCCTTCTCCATCCTCTGATCCTGGCTGACTGCAGGGGTTCCACCTGTGTAACAAGCAGCCAGGTCAAATTCCTGAAGAATAATGTTGGTTGTTAATTATTGCAAGCAGGTATGCACACCCAGTGGTGGTCCGGCACCATCTGCACTGGCTCCCACTTGAAGCCTGGGCCCAATTTAAGGTGCTGGTGATGACCTATAAAGCTCCAAATAGCTTAGGACCCGGACATCTGAAGGAGCACCTCCTTCCCTACATGCCTTCCTGAGGCAGAGGTCCTTCTTGGGAGCCCTCCTTGAAGGAGATAGGAGGGTGGCTACCCAGCGAAGGGCCTTCTCTGTGGTGGCACCTCAGCTGTGGAACATGATCCCCAGAGAGCTGCACCTGGTGCTGACACTTCATTCTTTTCAGCACCAGGCCAAAACCCTTTTCCCCCACTATTTCAAGACCTAAATTTTCATTTTAGTCAGGCTTTTATCATAGATATTATGTTGTGCCTTTGTTGTTGGACCACCCCGAGACTTTCATGTACGGAACGGTGCATACAAGTTTTAAAAAAACAATAGAGTACTGCCTTTGGCCAGCATGAGAGCAAGACATGTGCATTCCGCAGTGGGAGCTGAGAGCAGGCAGGCAGGCAGCCCTTTTGCCTTTAGCGGACTCATGAAATGCTGCACCTTTCTTCCTCAGTATCTTGGCTTCCTTGCGTAACTGAGCAAGCAGCATTCCCAGGAGCCCTGAGTCACGGAAAAGGTCCTTGAAGAGCTGGTCCTTCTGTGCAATGCTGTGGAGGCAAAGCAGGGCAGCTGAAGTGCTCAGAGGATCAGTGTTTTCCTTGATCAGACACTGGATCTCTTTCAAGATCTCATGGGGGATGTATGAGAGGTCCCACACTACGGACTCCACCAGCTGGAAGAAGTCTTTCTGGACCAACGGCGGCTTGTGAGGAATGAGGCTGACAAACTGAGAAATGGGCTGCAGTGACCATTCTAGGAGGAAGAAGTTCATGGAGTCCCAAGTCCAGATGGATTTGAGGGCCTGTAAGATGTATTGGCAGAGTTCTGGGTTGATGGATTTCTGAAAAAGGGACTCCAGCACCTGGAAAGCCTTCAGATTCCTCACTCTGTTTCCTGTGGAAAGAACAACAGCACCGATTTCTGCATTATTCTCCCTGAGGGATCCTTCACAACCAGGGTTGCTCTGTCCCTAAATACATCATGAGAAGAAACCCACGAAGCCAGCTGCTGTGCAAACACCACGGGGAGCGACGGCGGCTGCACCACACGTGGCATTCGGATTACTTGGGGTGCTCCACTTCAAAGGCTTTGTGCTAGTGCTCTGTGTTCGCTCCTTAATGGACGTACAGCATTAAGTGGAAAAATAGACAAGCAGTGGGAGAATATGGGGAAGTTCTGAGTGGAAGTTGGCATCTTCTGGATCCCATGAAAAATGTTGTGAACTTTAACTTACTATCACCTTACTTGATTGACATCAGCCTAACTGGAATGAAAGGAGATTTCAGAAAGGCAACTCACGTTTTATTACTTACACAAATATTGCCCCCTTGCCCTTCTGCGGTTTATGCACCACTCAGGGCGTTTTCTGCGAGATTTGAGACTGTGAAGCAACTGAGGTTCAAAATCATACCAGTGCCATCCATCATTCCCAGCTGTTTGCTGGCCGAGCTGTTTGCCCGTCAGCAAACAAAGCAAGCTTGCCTACCTATTGACTACACATCATACCTGTTCCGTCAAAGAAAAATCAAAATCACCACTGATCAATCCAGCTATTTGTAAGAAAGTGTTAGAATCTGCAAGCAGACAAACAACTTGAAATAAGAAGAAATACGCAAGCATTCATTTGTGGTTAGATGTTGCAGAAGCATGAAAAGCAACGGCAATTCAGCATTCAGAATGCTTGAGGGTTGCCCCACAGGGCGAACTGGATCAGGGGGAGCGTGCTACGAATGGGGAATCTGGGAGACACTGGAAGCATCTTCGCTGATGAAGCTGACCCAAGACGACCCAAAGCTCCTCTTTATAATAAAAACATCTTTCTTTTCTGGCAAGGCAGGGCCTGAGAGGAAGCCATTGTACAGGGCAGCATTTAATACTGCCGGCAAATGTTTGAACTGCCCAAAAATTAAGCACAGCATGTGCTCCAGTAGCTACATAAATCCAGGAAACCCTCATGGAAGATCACTGCTTATTGTGGCACCGCTGGGCTACAAATGCTGGAGATCCATCAAGGACCAAGCCTTCTCCCAAACACACAAGTTCAGTTTCCCCTGGCCATGCAGCTGATGTCAAGTTTACAACCATGCTGAATAATTTGCTTCGTGACTGAAGTATCACAATCCTTGCAGATCCTGAAGAAATAGACCATACTGCTAGCCCATGAGTGTACATGTCCAGAGCAAGACAGCACCATGAAGTGGGAATCAGGCAGCAGGCAGGCTGTCCAGGGACAAGGTTCATGGCTTATACTGCCATTAAGTCTTCGAAGTGAAAGGCATAATGTGCTAGCCATTCTGTTACCACAACTCAGTCCTTGCTTTTAATTTGTTGCTTTCCTTTTCCCACCTGGATGCAAATACAGGTACTGGTACATACAAAGGTATTGCAGGTATTGGAATTTCTCCTCGAAATTCCCTTCCTGCATTGACCTTCACTTCTTTTGCACAGCCTATTTGTCCTAAGTAAAATGCAGAAGAGGGTTGCTGATAAATGCAAGCAAAGCCCTCTTGGCAGCTTCAGAAATGCCTGCTCCCCATTTCCTTTCCCAGGCTGTGTTTGAATCACCCATTGTACTTCTCTCTCCATGAAATACCTCTTATCATGCTTTTATGCCATGCATCCACCCTCTGACCCCTAGAAATACTCACCAGAAGAAATTGACTGTTTAACCTCAAACTGTGGCAGCTGAGGGCTCGCAATATTGCCGGAAACCTGCAACTCTGTTTTCCCACACATAGTCAGCTGTGTCAGAAAGTCCAAACATTCCCTGAGAGGAGTATGTTCTTTGCTGTCCAGTGGTCCATCATACCTGGAAACACAGATGGGGGTCACCTAAGGAAAAGCATCTCAGCACACCTGACCTCTCAGCCTCTGCTCCAGCACAGAACTCGCGGAGCAAGGAATAAAAGGACCACCCTGGTTGGAGTCTATTGCTGACCACCCAGGCAACAGGAAGGCGAGCGTGAGACTTTTGGAAAAACAAGTTGCCAGTGTCGAGGCGGCATGGTGTCACTGGGAGATCAATATTGCCAAACGTGGCCCCTCCAAGAATTTCCTAACATACGTTGCTTATAGCTTCCTCCAAGAGAAGTTCAGGAAGTAACTAGAGGAATGACTATCCTAGACTTGATTTTAGCCAGCATGGGAGACCTAGTAGACAGAGACAATTGCATGAACTCTGAGGGGAGAAGTGATCAAGCCATACCTGGATAACACAGCTAGTTGTTAGAGCTGTCAAAAGTCTTTTTCCCCCTTGGAAAAAGGGTGGGGAGATACATAGGGGAGAATGACTCCCAGTGTCATGCTGAACCCAGTAAATTAGTTGAGGTCTAATTTATTCAATATTGGAGAGAAGATTATCAGACGGGTATAAAACATCATTGTCCAAAATTTAGAGGAGAATGTCATGCCAGAAAATTGGGCATTCTGTATCCCAGATGCAAGGTCTGGATTGGGGATTCTGAATTCTCTGCCCAGCATCTCTTTATGGCCTTAGTGAAGCAGAAACGCAGCTCAGTGTAATTTAACACAGACCCATTCATTAAACTGGAAACTTATCATCTGAAATACTGTGCAGTGAGAGGAGTATATCAATAAAAATGTGCCTGATGACAGCCTCTCAAAGAACTAGTCACTGCGGCAGAAATACGTCTTCCTGACTCCTTGGAAGCCAACAGCTTGTCAACAGACTTGCCTGAGAAAAATTTCCAACAGGAGCTGATAGCCCCCGTTTTTTTCAAACTCCAGAAGTAAACTTGGGGAGGTTGGGTATGAATTCTTCACAAAACACAGGATGATGTTGAGTGGCTCACACACTTCGCAAGGAGGCAAGGACTCAGCAAGGGTTGACAAGTTCTGGATGGAAACTTTAATGCAATCCGTGGCTAGAAATGAAAACAAAACACATATGCAGGAAGCAATTGCGGCATGCAAAGTTCTGATGGAAGTAGAATAGCAAGAAAAAGCACTGGCTTGGGTCCGTTTGGGGCCTGAAGTGTGGTTTTGTAGTGAACCAGAAGAACGATGTTCTCTTTGGGATGAGCCCCTAGAGTCCACTGCCAAAGGGAGCCAGTAATGCTGACTAGCCACAGCTGGCCCCAATCCAATGCAGCAAAGCCAAGGAGAAAGAGCCTGCGTTCTCCTTACTTCTCCAGGGCACAGAAATGGTCCCCCACCTGAAGCAAGCAAAGGGGTTCTCACAGTAGCTAACCTGATGTGGGCTGTGACACCTGGGAGACCTGAGTTCTAGTCCCTCTCAGCCATGAGGCTCAACTGGCTGACTTTGGGCCAGTCACTCACTCCTGGGCTAGGCTGCCTTAAAGGATTATTGCTGTGAGGTAGCTTAGGCTGGGAGTGGGGAATTGTGTGGGACGCTTTGGATTCCTCACTAGAGATAAAAAGCAGGATATAAATGTGGTGGTGGTGGTGGTGGTGATGCCATCGTCTCTCAGAAGTCCATCAGTAGGCTGTTTCTTTGCCGTGACACAATCTCCAATACATATTTCTTACTGGAGAAGGACTAGAATGGGGCAGAAATCCACAATATATAAGCCATGATCACTGTTGTTCCTTCTCTCACGAGTACAGGAGAAAATAAGGATTGTTACCTTGCAGGTAGGAAATGATATTCTTGGACTGAGCCTTTGAAATTGTCCGGAGCACTTGGCTGGTGGGGCATTTCCAGGAAGGGCTACTTTGGTCCCAAAGGGACGTCACTGAGATGATCAGAGACCGAAGATCTGCAGCCAACAGCAGCTCGTCCACAGCTGGTTCTTCTGCACAGATGTTGAGCATTGTCTGGCAGCCAAAGAACAGCTGTAAGAACCGATACACCTGACAAAGCACATCCGCCTCTGGGCTCTGGAATATCGCTTCCAGTGTCGCGAAGGGAGTCCAAGGTGGAAGAAGAGGAGGAAGCCCAGCTATGAGCGGGATGGATTCCATCAAGGAAGCCCCAGCCCTGAGTTTACAAGAGCTGGGCAGGGCTGTCTGGGCAGGACTCTTTGGAAGGCGCTCATTCACGGGGCCACCATAAGTCGGAATGTGACTTGACAACACATAACAACAACCGTGTGAAAACTTGTCTCCACTCTTTATACACTGATGCTCCCTAGAGGGGTGGTTAGCCTGTACCTGCACAAACAGGTCCTGTGTCTGTCTTTCATCTTGCGTCTTTCCTCCACTGCCACCAGCTTCATCCAGGGGAGAGACAAAGAAGAGATGCAGGCACTGCAGCAGCAAGACTGGGAGCCCAGATTTTATTATGCTGCATCGGACACCTGGTTCCTGCATACGGGAGAGCAGAGATAACACCCTGGCCAGTTTGCACAGCTTCTCGCCATCTACCTTTTGTAGCCCCGGAAAGGGTATGGCTTGGAGGGCAGAAGAGAGGGGTGGCAGTGGAGATGGGGGGATGCAAGGCAGCTGGACAAGCATGCTCTGTGCCAAGGATACTGGTTTCTCTCCCAGTACAGGCAAGTTCTGCCACCTGCATCCCCACAACTCTCTCTGATCAAAGGCGGCAGGGATTGATGCTCTCCCAGCGGATTCCTCAAGAGGGTGGAGCTGAAGGTCTAAGCTCCACCCCCTCGAGAATCCCCCGAGGCACCCAGGGGCTGGACTGGGGTGTTTTCAGTGGGCATACAGAAGTACCAATGAATGCTAAAACTATGCAAACCTGAAAAAATGCTGTTACTCAGGTATACAATCATCAGATTTCTTTTCAGCAGATTCTGCATGTTAGATTTTATAAGTGGAAGAGGAAAGTATTCTCTGCTGTATGTCCTTAAACTACATAAGTTTAAAAACTAAACTGCTTTGAATAATGAAGCCCAGGAATGGCTGCATAATAGTTTTTGAGCAATAACTCCTTTAAGCCCCGGGTGTCAAAATGCCTCTGTGTTAGCATTCAGGAACACATTTTGTATTTGGGGTGAATGGAAGGCAGGCAACATGAATATTGTTCCCTTGGGTTGGAGAGGAAATAGCCCATTTCTCTTACCAAGTGTCCAAGTGAAAGCAAGTAGACTGATCTGAAGAGGACGGGGCCGTCGGCCGCCTCTCCCGTTTCCTGCTGCAGAAACCTCTGCACAGCCAGCCGCGCTGCTTCTGCCAAAGCAACTTCAGTTAATAACTCCATTCAAGAAAACGAGCCAAACCAGCGCCACATTCAGCCCAGAACCCGAGAACAGTTTTGTTGAGTGTATGTTTGTTTACTCTAGATTTCTACCCCACCTATCAAATACAGGATCCAAATGGCTTGAAATAGAGAATTTTGAGCACCGAGACAAAACTGATACATACAATAAGCTACAAAGAGCAACAGAAATAATTGCTACTCCAATCAAAATAACTTACAAAAGCAGCACGTTGGAAAACAGCTTGTTCTACCATTATTCAGGCATGAGAGTCTGAAATGAGTGAGAAATTGGGCTGGGTAGTGGTGCTCAAGTTCTTTCCAGCCGCCTCCTTCCCCTCTGTCATAGTCAGTCTTGGAAGCTGCAGGACAGTGTCCCGACCACTTCCAACTGGCATCCATGGTCTGCGCTGTGGGACCTTGCCACCTTGCGATCCACTCCCTCAGGTAGGGGACTCTTCCATCTCTCATCCATCCTATCACACCATCTTCTCTGGAAGGGCTCCTCTCCAAAGTCATTGACACCACACCATGACAAGGGAACAGATTAATCACTGGGGATAAGCTCAACCAGGAAGATGAGGGGCTTACGTTTCTGCTGGGGCAACCTACCTGGATCCATGGATCCCATGAAGGAGAACATGAATGGGCCACGCTTGGGAAACGTGACCACAGATGAAGGCTATAAAGAAGAGGTATTCTAAAGTCAAGTTTACCTGCAGGCTTCCTATTCAGATTCTTCTGGATTTCTTTCACCAGGAGTTTTGCAGTCTCACTTGCTAGCAGCTGAGCATTCAGGAAAGAGATCTCTCCGGCCGACTGCTCCCAGGCCTGAAACAGATGTCAAAAAGTATCCATTTGGTATTTGATGCACTGATTCTCCTTCCCTGATGTGAATGATGGTGCTCTCCACCCAAATGAAGACAATAGGAGGAAACGGGTGGGTGTGAAAGCTACATTAATTAACAGAAATCCTCAAGGAGCATCATAGCAATATTTTGTATGGACTTCTCACAACCAGAAGAAATACATGAGAGAGTCTCCCAAGCAGTGGCCAAGTTTGCTGATGCCACCAAATTATACCAAGAGGATTATCATAATTACCTTTGCTGTGGTGTGTGAACCTGGCCAACATGGCTTATTGCTCTGGTTAACAAGTCACTCTGATACCTGAAACAACTCCTGGGTTCTGGGTGGTTTGCTATCCATGGTGACGAGCCACCCTGGCTGAGTTCACATGACATAAGTTGCACTGCCAAGCGCGTTTACTCCACTCTCCCAGCCCGTGACAGGCTCCGTGTGATTTCCCTCTCTGTGATCACGCAATCTTGCCCGTCGGCGGATTGCTTGGCCAGTCTACTTTCTAGCCCATTGTGAGCCATTTGTATGTCGCTCCGGGGACACGATCACTTGCCTCCGCTTGTGCTCCGGGTCCTTTAAGAGCACGTCCTTTCTAGCTCTCACTTATCTCATGAGGTGCGCGTGGCCCTTGTGACTCATGGCATGGCTGAGAGAGCCCCCAGGTCTCATCCTCATCCCCATGCAGCCCACGCCTCCACACCATGGGAGACCAGAGTTCCCCGAGGGAAGGGGAGGCTCCCTCTTGACCCCCCAGAGGCTGGGCCTGGCCTCCGGAGCTGCCAGAAGGCTCAACAGGAAGCACAAAAGGTAAGAGGAGGCTGGGCAAAGCAAGGGGCAGGGCCAAAGACACCTGCTGATACTCTGTCATCCAAAAGACCTCAGAACTATGATTTATTTCGGAAAGTGGTTTTGGGCTCCCCGGTACAAATAGCGAGTTATCCATCTCTTTGTTTGTGCAGTTGCAACAATTTATGCTTTCGTCTTGTGTACCACGTGACTGTGGGTCACGTCATTCTGATGACTCGTGCAGTCCTGTGATTTGCATGTGGAAAAGATGGAGCAAGTCCTGAATCGACACTCTCATCAGAGGGGGAACGAGTCGGTCGAGGAAGAAGCGCAGGCTCGGTGGTGAGAAGGTGGCGAAAGAGCCAGCTTCCTTTTTTAGAAGAATTGTCTATTTCATTGGCCAAAATCTTTATCTTTACATTGTGCGCACATGTGGATGTCAGCTGTCCAGACTCAGGTCCCTCCCAAGCTTAAAAGGGAGAGGTGGAATTCCCTACAGAATGTGTGTGTGCATTTCGACAGCTAGCTGGAAAAATGCCCCCTTTGATCTGACTATGAATGAGGCGCACGAGGGCAGAAGAGTTTAGGGATCGCAAACAGCATGATGGAGGTGGAAGTTACTCCAAGGGATTTTGCAATGGAATGGGATCTAAAGTTAAGTCTTCCACACTTAAAAATGTCCAGGCTCAGAAGAGGTAGTGCTGGTTAACAGCACAGGACTGGGACTCAGGAGGTCCACATTCACATCCCCGCTCAGCCACGGAGCTCCCTGGGGGACTTTGGGCCAGTCACTGTGGCCTCTCAGCCCAACCTACCTCACAGGGTTGTTGTTGTGAGGATCAGTTTTAGGGAAGGGGGAACAGAATTACAGGAGCTGCCTTGAGTTCCTCGAAAGGAAAAAAAAAGCAAGATATCAACATAATAAATACATAATGAAATAGTAACATAAATAATACTCCATTGCCCAGTCAAACCATTCAAGCTTCCTCACAACATGAAACACATTGCCATTTTGTGTGGAATCCAAAATGGCGGCCACTGCATTCCAGTTGTTGCAATGCACCCATTTTGGGGGTGATTTGCCCTGCTCCAGCCTGCCTTCCTCACTCATGCATTCTTGAAGGAAAACCTTTTCATTCCCGGCATTAGGAGCAAGACCTTACAACAAAGAGCTCCAGGAGGCGGAGGTCCCCAACCAACCTTCAGAAACACAGGCAGCAAATCCAGCAGACGTCTTCGTTGCTCCTCCGGACTCTGGAGAGCAGCCATTTCTTCATACTCCAAGAGCTGCCTGCCCAGGGTCTCCCACAGAAGAGAAGGGTCCAGGCAGGGGTCTTGGCCCTTGCCAGGTTTGACTGACTGTGTTGGGACTGCCACCACAGGGCCTTTGTTGGCCAAGGCATGATTCTGGCCAGCATTCTCTTCCGGTGAGTCCTCCTCTGCTTTCAGCTCTAGCACAGTTTCCATGCTTTAGTCACACTGATCTGGAAGGAAATACAAAAATATGGGATTGCCTCTGATTTGATTAACAGCTTGACTTGAGGAGCTATCGGCTTGGAGAGCAGTGGGAACTGGTGTGGGGGACAAAGTCTTCACATTCGTCCACTCACACCAACAATTCCTGATTGGATTATTGTAACATGTTCTACTGTACATGGGGCTGCCCTTGAAGACATTCCAGATACCTCAGTTGGTTCAGAACAGAACAGCCAAGATGTTGACGGGGACCAGCAGGTATTCACATATAATGCTGGTCCTCTGCCACCTACACTGGCTGCCAATTGAAGTCTGGGCCCAATTTAAGGTGCTGGAGATGACCTATAAAGCCCTAAACAGCCTGGGTCCTGGATACCTTACCTGGAGGAGCACCTCCTTCCTTATATGCCTTCCCACCCCTTAAGATCAGAGATGGAGGTCCTTCTCCAGGAGTCCTCCTTGAAGGAGATTAGGAGGGTGGCTACCCAGAGGAGGGCCTTCCCTGCACCCCGATTATGGAACACACTCCCCAGAGAAGTTTTCCTGGCACCAACGATTTGTTCCTTTCTGTGCCAGGCAAAACCCTTTTTATTTCCCCATTATTTTAATATTTAATAAGTTTTAAGGTGGGTTTTATTTACTGGAAGTTTTGGATGCTGTGCTCCATTTTATTCTGTGCTGCTTTTATTGTAAAACTGTCCCAAGACACTGATAGTTGGATGGGATATAAAAGCGATAGATAGATAGATAGATAGATAGATAGATAGATAGATAGATAGATAGATCAATAAATTCCAGCTCCGCTGCCGTGGTAACACACCCCAACAGCACTTCCTGCTCTGAGGCTCAGAACCCACCTTGCTGCTTTGACACCCTTCAGGAAGGGTTTGCTGCTGCTCAGCAGAAAGGCATGGGAAGAATCAGATTGGTCACGAAAAATTGGAGCCAGATCTAAGATGACCTTCCAGCTGCAATGCACCAGACTTGAACCTGGCATTGTGCAAAGACTGTGGGTTTGGGGACAGATGCAACATGGCACGATTTAGAGCAGAAATGGGGCAGAAAAGAATCCCAAGTCGTTCGATATGGTAAACAGAGCAAGTCACACTGCTCTGCCTTTTGAGATGACTTTCAGTTTCAGCAGCACAAACAACTTAGTACTTTTTATTACTATTCTTAGTGTTGCCAGCTGTCTATTAATTCATCACTGGTGCCAGTATTTCCGTATCCGCCCCGGCAGCTGGTTAAAGTTAAAAAGCTGGTTAAATGCTGGTTAAAGTTAAAAAGTAAAAATGCTGGGAAAAAGCGGTGCACAGGGCAGGTGCGGGGGGGGGGGGCTTGTTTTGCACCCCATGCGAGTTTCGACGGGAAAAAAGACCTAGAACTCCAGCCATGCCCTAATCATAACACTTCCGCTATCTCAGGTGAGACTGGAATAAGGATCCAAGAGGGGTCCAAGCCAACTCAGCTGGTGTAGACAGTTTTCCCGGTTCGCGCAAGGGAAAATTTGTTGTGCAAGACTTGCTAAGGGTTCACTCCCACGGGCTGCAGTCACATGCTGCAAGGAATCTCCTGTGATGGCTCTTCCTTTTTTCTTGGGCAGCGGTCTTGCTCCCTGTTGCCCAAGTTCCCTTCCTCTGCAGGCTGTCCGCTGGTCTCCCCCAGTCTCTGGAAGCAGCTACTTGGCTCTCGTGGTTCCACTGGCGTGGAGAGTCTCCTGATCCTATTGCTGCTGACGGCTACCCTTCTCCAGGGAGTTTCCTCTGCATGGGCCTTCCTCCACCTCTGCATCCACCTCCTGTTTCACTTCCATCTCCGGTGCTTCTCGCTGCTCTTGCAGCCCCACCATCCTGCCCAAGCACCCTTCCCTCACTCTTCTTCCTTGGAGGGCAGACACTCCCCACTCAAGCACTTTGCTTCTTGGGCTGGTCGGTTGAAGTCTGGCTTCTCTACTGCTCACGGTGACCTCCTCTCACTTCCCCCAGGATCACAATAAAGAGAAGCTATTCTTGCATCTCAAGACAACAACCAAAAAAGGAACCTTTAAAATCCCTCCTGAACCCTCATATCTGAAATGCCCCTTGGTAACAGTGGTTTAGGCTGGAATTCATGCGTAGTTTTGCTTCTCCTTATGTCTATTCTATACATTTATCAAATGCACTTTGCTCACTTAGGGCCACTAAAGCTATTGGACGGGTTTCATTTCTTGATTCCTGTACATTAACATGGTGAGATTATGAGTCATTTCAGATTTGCCCTGGGCAATCTCCTTGGATCCAATTAAGAAAGAAAACCTGGTGGCTGTTTGTTGCCAAAGTCATGCGAAGCACACATGGTTTCTGGGCAGCCTCTTAGAAAGTCTGGGGGGAGCTTTTGCACCCTTGCAAGAATTGTGCAGGTCATGCCCTACCATTATTCTGGATTCTTTTTTTTGGGGGGGGGAGTGAGGGGGGTTGCTGGCAAACCGATTCTGCAAGTTGCTTTGATTATTTTTAATTATTTGCACATATTAGAGTATTAGGAAGGGGAAACCGGCCCAGTTACACAGAAAGCGCCAGGCTGATTTTATTTTTATTTTTTATTTTTATTTTGCCTTTTTATACCGTCCTCTTACCAAGAGTCTCAGGACGGTCCCAAGATGGAGGAAGCAGTGACAGGATGAATGCTGTGCAAATGGCCTGCACCCAGCGCCCCGCAGTTCATGCTCTGGGGAGACCCCATTGCTAAGAAGAGCCACTGATGAAATCCTGGCAGTTTATGAATGCCTGACCACAGAAAACAGACAAGAAGGGGGCAGTGGCAGGAAGCGCAATGCAGGCCCATGCAGAGCTGGCATTAGAATTGTCTGTCAAGCTGATTCCAAAAACAAGGCTTTTGGGAAGAAAGTTGGATCAGACCACATCCTTCCCTTACAACTTTTTTGTCATTACCAATGTGACACTCGCCATTTGCTCCTCAGCTGAAACTGGAAACTCCTCAACAAAAGTCAGTCTATGTTGGGCAGTACTGAAAGTTAAAGAGCGATGTGAGGGGTACTGGCATTGACAGCGAAGGACAGAGAAGACGCGCGGCTCGGCCTCACTGCATGCCGCTTATCGGGCATCGTGGGAGTGCCACAATCCCCGTCTCTTGAGTTCAGCCCAGCTTCTGGCAAAATGCCTCCTGACATTCTGATCAAAAGTGGGCAAGATGCACAATCTACCGGGTGGCATCCTTAGTTGGCTACAGGGCTGGACCCAGGGAGTGCTTCTTAACGGCACCGTCTCAGCCCGGGGAGGGCTGCGAGTGGGTCCCACAGCGCTCAGTACCGGGACGAGTGCTCTGCAGAGTTTTCATTAATGACTTGGATGAGGAAGCGCAGGAAGGTTGATCAGATCTGCAGATGACACAAAAACAGGTGGGGCAGCTAATACCCTGGAAGGCAGAAACAAAAGCCAAGGTGATCTGGATGGGCTGCAGCTCTGGGCTGAAAACAGCCGAATGAAATTCCATAGGGAGGACTGCCAAGTTCTGCGCTTAGGAAACAGGTTTCAGGGGTCTTGGACTCACCTGCCGAGGGGGATGCCACCTGTTGGGAGCTGCAAGATTGTTTTCTGAGGCATGCTTAGGGTTCCCCTTAAAGCACTCCTGCATCCCCGATCCACCGTTTCGCGCCTCCTGTCCAAACTCTGAACGCTCATGAGGTCCTATATTTAAACCGTCTACCTCTCAACACAAAAGTAACACAGCAAATCCAGCATTCTTCCTTCTAGTTGTTAATAGTAACCCTGGAAAGTATTTGTTTTTTGCTCTGTGGATGTTTCCATGCTCTTTTAATTATTGCTTGAATCATTCTGGCAGAAACCGTGACGCCCCAGCCAGCCATTAGTGAGTTACTCTGATAGAAGCATTATTCTCCTTCGTAAGAGTGAATCGCTGTGAAATATTAATGCTCGCATTCAGACGCACACAGGAACGCTTCTCAAAATAGCAGGCTGGGCGAGTGCCCTGGCCTCCGCTCTCGCCCCTCAGAGTATGGGTGGCCGCCCCGCGTCTGCCGCCCGTCTGCGAACCCTCCTGTTTTCTATACACGAGCAATTTCTATAGGGAAGAAAGGGTCCCAGCCATGTGGGCCCACACCGGCCACAACATGGCCCACCATTTCTTGCAATTTATTTATTTATCTAGACAACTTATATGCAATGCCAGCTCCAGCAAATGCCCCCCATCTTGGATTCATGGCCATGTGAAAAGCAGAGCAGCCGAGAGCTGGCCGAACTTTCTCTTGCAAGAGTCAAAGCAACTTGTGACTCAGAGTGCTGCCCCCTTTGTGGCTAAGGCAGCAAAAAGGGAAGGAAAATATTACAGATAAGGTGAGCTATTTCAATTCAATGTAATCGTTTCTTTTAAAACTGATGTAGGGTTTCAGTAGGGCTTACGGAACCCGTTTTATAAAAAGATTTTTCAATTCCTTTTTCTCTTTCTAAAGAATTTAAATATTGTATTATTAGTTTTATTTTAAACTTTCATAGTATTCAATTTTCAAGTTTATGTAGCTACTGTCTGTCTTCAGTGTGCTTTCACAGTGTTTGAAATGATCTCAAGGCTTATTCAATAAATTTTGATGGACTGACTCACAGTCCAAAATGCTGCAGTCCAAATGGAACTTTGAATGGCCTCTGCACGCGAATTGGGTCGGCCGTGCCTCGGGATGGCGAAACAGCCCTCTCCGAGCAGTTGTCCCACCCGGCCAGAAAGGATGCGAATGATGGACATGTAACAGCCAGCTAATCCGTCGGGATGACGGTGTCTCCTGGCTTTCGCAGGCCCTTTGAACCAGGAAGCAGCATACAAAGTCTGCAAATTCCGTCAGCAGTTTCTCTCATCAAATTTTGCAGCTTCTCGACTAAAGCCTATTTATAGGTTACTTGTTCCATCGAGATATTTGACCTTGGCAAATTCCATGCCACTGTAATTTGATCTTTTTTGGAGGGGACATCTTCTCATCCTAACTTTTCACCATCTTTTCCTCAATATCTTGGATAGCAGAACAGAACCAGGAAGGATAACAGTCTGAGCATATTCAGAAAGATCAGGTTGGAAGGTGTGGCACGTCTGCTTTCAGGCGCTACACCATCATAAGCTTCCATTATTTATACTTTATTGGCCAGAAGACAAGACTGGGGGGAGGAAATGGAATTAGGAGATGTTTTTCACCCTCCCCACATGAATTCCAGGGAAAGCTGAAGTTTGAATCCACTTGGCAGGGAACTGCACGTGTTCTTTCCAGTTGGATCAGTCTGTTTTCACCCTGAAGCAGACCTGTCCAAAGCACCTGCTGATAAATTGTTATTTCTACCACAATAAATCAGTAACTCTCTCTCAGTTGACTTTTGCTGCACCCAGTTGAGGAATTTCTCTTTGCTTGTATGTGCTTTACAGCTCACAACCCTTTCACTTTCACCTTAAAAAGGGGGAAAGAAAAATCTTGCAACTAGGTACTCAAATTGGGAATAGAGTCGAATTCGTCTGTGTTGTTTTGTATGGGCTAAAGAAAAACCTCAGCGCTCCTTCTTCTGCCAGAGCTTTCAGGAAAAACAACCAAGAGGGTTAATCGTTAGCAATGACATGCCTGCTGGGAGCCTGCAAGAAACAGAAAACTCTCAGGCACATCGAAGCTCCTCCATTATCCTCCTCCTCCTTGGCAGTGCGCTGAACGAGCCACGTTCCTGCCATGTTGTGGCTTCCTGAACTTTCATGGTCTGACATGCCGCTTGCAAACAATCCTGCGAGACTGCCGCCTTGCCAAGGCGGCAAGGAGATGAGGACCCCCAGCTGGGAAAAAAGAGGATGGAGACATTCAACATACCTGCCGGCTTTTTCTGGCGCTGGCGGCGACTCCAGCCAAAGGATGCAGCAATGTAAGCAGGGCTGCCCGGCACCTTGATGTGCCCGGCAGGGTCTGCTCCTCAACTTTGCATGGTGATTCATTTGACTAAGCAGCTGTACTTGTTTCCTGGTAAAAGCAGAAGTGCTGAAACACACAACAGACCACAAGTTCTGCTCAGGCCAAAAAGCAGAGCAGGAATCTGGAGGCGCCGCCCGCATCATGGAGCCACCGCCACCGCGGTGAGAGGCAGCAACAACCTGGAAAGCCCCTGGACTGAACTTTCCACCCTGAGGCCCTCAGTCTCCCCCACTTCCTAGGCAGGGTGGGGGCTTGTTTCAGAGGAGAGGCCCAACGACTCCCCCACAGACCCCCGGTGCCCCCCAGTCTCTGGCATTGCTCAGTGCAGACTTTTCCTGGCCGGGGACCCCCAAGCTCCCTTCTGGGGCGAGGATGGAAAAGCCCTCAGCTGGAGCGGCCTCATTGGTGCCAAACCTTCTCCCGCAGGGCAGCCTTCCCTTTAGGGTGCTCCTCTCCCTCCCAGGTGAGTGAGGGAATTACCTAAAAGAGCACCCAGAGCGTTTTTTAACGGTGACTGAAATGGTTGGACTTGAGACACGCACACGACCCTTGGCCAAACCTCCCAGCTCAACCGCCAGAACAGCGGGGAGGCAGTGGGGCAGGCACGGCAGGGCAGGGCAGGGCAGGGCAGGGCAGGGCAGAAAGCAGCTGCTTAGCCAGCGCTTAGCCAGGGCCTGCCTTCAGTGCGACGTGTGATGGACAAACTGGCGTGGTGCATAAAGCACTCGATCGCCCCAAATTTTTGCAAAACCATCTCACACAGGCAAGCTTTATGCTCACAAAAGAGCAATTAATCAGACAGAGCTGCAAGCTGACATGTCCGCACCCCTTGCCGACGTCTCGGGGAGCATTGCTGAATATCTGGGCGGACATCCTCCCGTACTTATGGGCTGCTGGTGGAGCCCACAGGGCAGACTCGGCCCTCTTTGCTGCTCGCTGCTGCAGCCATGAGGGAAAATCCCAGGGGCTGGAAGCAGCCCTCAGGCCCGGCCCACTTGAACACCGAGCGGTTTGTGCCACGGGATGGTTCGCAGAACACAGCGCATGGGCCTCCCTCGTCCCCTCAGAGACGCATTTGCTTGTTCCCAGAGGCAATGCGCTTCTCCCCAAGCTCTTGGCGGGCAAGCTGAGGTGATGGCCCCATATGGGGGCTGCTCAGCGTGCCTGTTTGCGACTCACCCACAGTGAGCCCGAGAGTGCTTGCACACATGGCAGGCTGCCCCCTTTCTCCCTCGGGCCCCCCAGGGGCAGCCCAGGGCCCACCTGAGCCTTTCCGCTGCAATGGCCGGCCCCTTACACCGGCCACTGTTTTTCCTTCCATTCATTATTGGGGGGGGGGGTCACTTTCCTTTGACAGCCACTGCAGACCCTACAAACTGCCACAGGGGGGCACTGGAGGGGCAGTCACTGATTTGTTGTCGTCTCCCCCATTCTGGTACAAGACACTTGCGCCAATGTTTTCAAGTCCTTTTCTCAACTCATTTTCTCATTGGACTTGTGCAAGGTGCTGCAATTGTGGAGGTCGCTCCCCAGAGAGGTCCGCCTGGCGCCAATGCTTCTTTCCTTTCAACGTCAGCGAAAACCTTCTCATTCTCCCAACATTTTAATTGTCAACCTGTTTTATTTAGTGGTTTTATATTTTAACATCGGATGCCGTGCAACTGTTCCTCTTATTTCTCTTTCTATTCTATTTTATTAATCTGCTGGAAACCGTCCTGAGATGTCTGTGATGGGATTGTATAGAAAAGTTTTGAATGAATAAATAAGGGGGGTGGGGTGCATGCACCGATCTGAAACAACAGGTCTCACCCAGGCGATCTTCAACGGTGTCTGGCAGGAAGGATTCGCCCATAAGCATTGCTCTGAAGGGCTGCAGAGGGTTTATCTTTCACTGGCATTGTTTAGACAGCTGTCAAAAGTCAAGCTGTCCAGAAAAACTGAAGCCAGGAGTAATCCTTACCTGCAAAAGGAGTTACATAGAAACACAGAAACATTGCGGGTCAGGAGGGGTCTCCCGGGCCATCTAGCCTGACCCCTGGCTCCAGCCAGCTCCGCTCATGACATGCCCACCATGTGCATGTCCAGCCTGTCCTTGAACACCCGCACCGAGGGGGCCTCAACCGCCTCCCGTGGAAGCCCTTCTGTGTTGGCTGGAAGATAACAGTCTTAGTGGGGAGTTTCTCTAGGTTTGGGGGGTGTTTTGACTTTTAGACCTGACTTTTGTTGGAGTCCTCTCCTTCCATGATCCTTTCCTGAGACTCTGTATGCTCAGGAAGGTGGGAAAGCGCAAGCTGGGGAACGCACAATGTTGATAGCTAGCTGCCCAGTTCCGTCCCAAGGGCATTCTCTTGCTTGCCTTGTTTCTGCTCTTCACAGGGCTACTCGGGGTTTTGGGGCAAGAACATTTGCACTCATGACCGTCTAGACCTCTGTGCAAAAACTCTGGACACCTTCGTCAAGAAGCGCTCGTTGCACTTTCTGGAAGACAGAAGAAACCAGAAAAAAGTATTAAATTATGTTTTATTCATCACAGCTCCATAATACCTGTGTCTGCCCTGAGGTTCTTGCCCAGGGACACTTCCATTCCATGTGAAATGATCATTCCCGCAGAAAATAAAAGAATATTCTCCTTACTGCAATGTTGCATCTATCCTTAAATATTGCAAATTCTTAAAGAAGAGAATCTCTGTGCTGTAAATGATACAATGACTGACTATGAAAAGTGTATCTGGATAAATTGTTACATTTTTACATTTTGTATTGTTGAACCATCCCGAGACTTCAGTAACGGGACGGTCTAGAAAAGTTTTAGATCAAGCGATCAATGCATCTTTTAAACACAGACCCGAGCTGCAAAGCTTCCTTTGTGCAAGGCAACCCGCAGCTCCTCACCTGCAGCCAGAGAGCTTGGCAGAAACCCTCCCTGTACATGCCATCAGTCCCTCCAGAACAGAAAAGCCATTGGCTGCTCCCTTTGGTTTATCTTTAAAGTCACAATAAAGGCGTGTTTATTTGCCTGCATCTCTTTTCCTGACATTGGGCCAGTGTGGTACCACCATCAGGGCCTCCTGTGCCTGCAGATGTCATTCAGCCTGACAAACAGGAAAAAATATGTCGCTACTTATAGATTTCCAGTGATAAGCGATGGGAGGCATAGATATTTGGACTTCTGGAGTGAGAGTCACTTGGTGCTGACTCCAAGGAGGAGTCTGCAGCTGGGCAGAGGGGACTGGGCTCCACTGACGCCACCCTATGGGGGCTTGAAGGGCAGTAGCTCGTAGGCAGAACTCCTTCCTCTTCTTCTCCTCCTCTGTTATTCTTCCTGTGTCCACTTTGCAGCGCGGCCTGAGCTGAAGAACAAGCAGACCTTAAGGTGCCGTCTCCCTGCAGGCCCCCTTTCCAGCTCCTCCGGCCTCTCCGCCTGCGGCCCCGTGGTGTTCATCAGGGCATGGCCCGACGAGGAGAGATTCCCTCCGCAGGAGGCCAGGGCTGCCCTCCCTCCCAGGGGCTCTGCCGCTACGCTCTTCTCCGGGGCAACACTGACATCACATGGCTGGATCCACTCATTGCAGAAAAGCATCTTCTTACCTGTGGAAGCAAAATCACGAGGAGACAACTACGAGGAGACAACTACAGGGTCGCTCTGTTGCATCTCAGCAGGTACTGCCCGAGGATGCGCCTTGCCGTGGCTGCTTGGACTTCGACCTTTCTTGGGCAGGGTTGCCCATCGCGGCAGGCAGCCCTGTGTGGTCACCGTGGGTACGTGGAGTCTCACCTCCAGCCACGCCACGGGATCGGGGGTTTCCTGCATGACTGCCGTTCCCCCCACAAGCCTCCCCCTGGGGGTGCCCCTCCCATGCCCACCGCGCCTGCGATTCCATCCCAAGGTGCTCCCACATGGCCTTCCCAATGCTCCCTGGGCGGGATCTCCAGCCCTGTCCCCTTTCTGCTGGTGCACTTTTCCTGCATCCTTCGGCCAAAGTTTCCTTCCGATGGGTGAACCCGCTCAAAGCACCGGAGCGCGTGGGGAGCCCTCTCCGGGGCAGCGTCTCCCACGATCAACCGTGGGGCTTGTCAGCTCCACCAGCTCACCCGATGCCCCTCCCCACACCCTGCTTCGCCTGCCCTCATCCCACGCACTGCCCCACAGCCCTTCCCCAGCCAGCACTCACCCCCATCACCACCCCCCCCCCACTGCTTCTTGCGCCTGACCCCGGCTTTTGCGCCTGAGGAGCTTGGTGTGGTGTGCACCAAGGGTCTGCGGAGGAAGCGGCTGGGTGGTGTGCTTCTCCCCGCAGTGCTGCCTGGTGGCCCCTCACTCCTGCCCCAGAGCAGATCTCTAGGGCAGGAAATGGAGGAGCAGGGGTGCCCCGAGGGTTGCACAAACGGCAGTGCTGTCAGTGGCGCTCCGAGAGACCATCAACGAGACGGCTGTTTCCGCTTGCAGTTTCTCAAAACCAAATGTACCATTTTGAGCTGCCACGACAGGGTTTGGACAGCACCACACGCCAAAAGGGGTCAAAAGTACCCTGCTGTTTGTCACATCTTGCAAACTCACCCACCAAGTGCTACCTTGGTCCATCTTGTCTGACTGCAAAGGAAGCACACCTGGGTGTTACACTTGGGGTTGAACACTGTTGGGATTAGGAAAACCTTGCTTGTTGCCTGAAATTGGCCACAGCGGGGCAGAAGAATGAGGTGGTCCCCAGTTGCTCCCAGACTCCTTCCCTTCTTGCATGTTGTCTGCAAGTTTAGGCTTGGGATTAAGCTCCAGGTTAGGGCTAATGTTAAGAAAACCCTGGTCCCTCCTACGTCCAGCGGCTTGGAGCAGATCTTGACAGGGCAAAACGAGTGTGCCATCAAGAACAGTCCAAAATCTGGCTTTGCCAGTTTTCTGGATGTAAAGGGATGATACCTGGGCATTTGGCTTTGGGTTGAGCTTCACATTAGGGCCA